CACTGCAGACCGGGGGCTCCTGTTCATGCTTTCAGCACTGTTTGTGAAGCTGGGGTGGGGGAAATTCCAGGGATGCAGGCACTCAGCATTCCTGCAGTTTCTGTGCAGGAAATGCAGTGCCTGCATCCCTAGGATTTGATGCAGGCTCCCAGAGCTGCCTGCGCAACCACGCCGCAGCCTTGGCTTTTACTTTTCTAATAACTCCCAGGCTTACTGTTTTAATTTTAATAGTAAATGCAGTTTCTATTTATGTCCTGAGACTCCAGGCTGTAAAGAACTTGACTATCCCTAGAAATCCGCATGGGTAATGATCTTTTTTGGAGATAAATGCCTTATTAACATGCCTGGGACTTAATAATGGATGAGCAAATCAGATGCATTTCGTGTCCCAGAGCCAGATTTAGAATTAAAGCTGGTGCTGTTGATGCCATAAGTTTAGTTCTGGGGAGTAAATATATATCTGCTAACTTTGGGAATGTCAGAGGAAAAGAGGAACAGCAAGCACTGGTGGCAGGTGCTAAATCTGTACCACGGGCCAGGTTGTTCCTTCAGTTCCTGGTGCTGCAGGAGCAGGGAGCTGCTGTCTGTGCCCAGAGCAGCCATTCCAAATAAATAATTGGAATATCAACCTTTTGATGAATGCTCAGCCAGCGACTCATGGAAAAACAGATGTTCCCCTGAATCCCTGCTCACACTTGCAGACGCTGCTGTTGGGATCCAGCCCCAGGCAGGGAACAGGTGTTCCCTGGAATTATCTGGGGCATCAGTTCAACATCTGGCAGCATTTGCTTCATTAGCTCTGTAATTGTTTTGTACTCCTTTAATTTCCCTGCTGGTCAGTGGGAAGGGCTTGGAAAAGCCAGGTTTGCACCAGGAGCTCGTGGCCGTGGTGTCAGGAACCTTTTTGCTGTGACTGCTGCTGCTCTCAGGGGACTTGGGGAAGGATAAATGTTCTGGGGTAGCTTTTGTTAGCTGGAGTTTTAGTGTTGCTTTGTGAAAAATTGGAGAGAGAGTTGTACATGTATAGAAATACACAGGAATAAATAGACAATCCTGAGTGGAAGCTGCAGGGGAAAAGGCTACAAAGGCTATGGATTTTTCCCTGGTGTAAACTGCAGCGTGTGCTGGTTTGAAGCTGATGCTTCCTGAGACCTGAGTGAGCAGGGTCCTGTGCTCACCTCACGAGATCAGTGGTTGAGTCTGAACATCAAGAACTGTTGTTTGGCTTGAAAAATAACCCCCAAAGTGCCTTTTATCGTGTTTGGAAGGATTCTGGTTCGTGGTTTTGTCAGTGTGTGGATGCAGCTGGCTCAGCAGGAGGGAGCTGTGTCCAAACTCCTCCAGAGAGGGGGACTTTCCTGGGATGCTTTAGGGGAATGTTTGGTGACAGTCACTCCTGCCTGGCTGCCGGCTCGGGATGTGGATGGGCCACGTGGGCCATGTCATGACAAGAGCTGAGAAAAAGATTGAGCAGGGCTGTGGAAAATACTCTGAGCCTAAAGAAAGGGAGAAGCTGGGGTGGAGGCCTTAAGGAATAAGGTCTGTAAGGCATTACTTCAGCTGGAAGAGGAGATCCTGTCTGTCTGTCTGTGTGTCTGACATCAATAAGATGTCATCAGACCCACAAGGAGGCAGTGCAAGGACAGTCCCTGGAAGCAGAGGTGTGGCACTGCAGACCCCCGGGAGGGTCGTGCCCTGTTGTCACTGCTGCTGCTCTGCTGTCCCCTGCCCATCCCTGTTTTGGCACCCAGTTTTGCTGGCTCAGCCATGGGTTGGGCCGTGCCTGTGGGTTTGATCATTAAACTGGTTCAGATTTCAGGGAAAAGTGAATTTTCCTTGTCCTCGTTTGCAGGGTGCAGGGTGATGTGAGGGTGTGTTGGCGTAGGAGACAAAAGGAATGAGAATGTGCAAAGGCTGTGCCAGCGAACCCTTTGTGCTCCAGAGCTGCTGATCCCTGAGTGCTGGGAGCAGCAGGAGCCACAGAAACCTGTAACAGTTTGGCTTGGAAGGGACCTTTAAAGGCCACCTAATCCAGCCCCCTGATGAGCAGGGACATGGAATCACAGAATCATTTAAATCGGGAAGAGCTTTGAGATCATCAAAATGATAATCCTGCTCCAAACCTGTCCAAGCCTGCCTTGGGCAGTCACAGCCTCTCTGGGCAACCTGTGCCAGGGCCTCAGCACCTTATCATCAAAAGCTTTTTCCTTTCAGTCTTGGCAGCTCCATGGCCAGGGAACTGCTGGAGGGGAGTCTCAGCCACTGCAGAGGTGAGGAGAGGGATTAGAAACCTGGAAACAGTGGTGCCATCACCACTTCTCCAGTTACACAGCTAAAAATCTGCATTGCTGTGCTTGGGAAGGAGCTGAAGGCTTTAAAGCAAGAACTTTTGCAACTCAAGGCACACTTGAGACCTGTTAACTCCTTGAAGGACACCTGGAGGAGGAGAAGGGCATGGCTGGGTTCCCTGAAGCAGCAGATCTGAGCAGCTCTGTGCTGGGGCTGGAATTCCTGACCCATCCCACCAGCGAGCTGCCCAGCCAAGGAAAACCTTTGCTGTTAACTTCCATGTTGTCAGTCTCCATTTCCATCTTCAGCACTGGAAAGATCCTTCTGTCTTTAAATTTGGCCAATGGATTTGACTCTGAAAGATGTGCCAGATGCTGCTGAACTTGCTGTCCAGGTGTCAGCCCTGAGGGGTGTCCCTGGGGCTGGCTCCTGCCTGGAGGGGCTGTGGGGTTCAGCCCTGAGGGGTGTCCCTGGGGCTGGCTCCTGCCTGGAGGGGCTGTGGGGTTCAGCCTCTGCAGGGCCCTGGTGTGGAGGAGCTCAGGGAGCCAGGAGTGAGCTGGTGCCTCTGCATGGGTGCAGTGACTGCTGCTGGCACCAGCTCCCCGTGCACACTGAAATCCCTCATTCAACCCGAGCACTCCTTTCACTGCTTGGATTTAGATTTTGGCAGGGCAGAGCTCTGCCAGACTTTGGGTACACCTGTGAGGGTTCCAGCCTGCTGTGCTGAAAATCTTTACGCCACAGCACTGCTGCCTCCTTCCTTCCTTCCTGTGTTGCACCTCTCGATGTGTTGGAGTGATTTCTCACACATGCAGTTGTGTGTTCTCCTTTTCTGACTCTACAGAGTCAGGCAAGGCACACTTCTGCTTTTCCTTTTTCCCTTCCTCCCCCTCTCTCCTCCAAAATGAAACTGCAGCTGAAACACAAGCGTTCAGGCTGGCCATGATGCAGCATAAAACTCTTCTGTGAGTATTTCCCCTTGGCTGTGATTAGGTTTTGTGTTCAAGGAGCAATTTTAAACATTCATCCAGAGCCATTACAAGGGAGCATCTGTGTGAGGACATATTTTGTGCAGCTGAGGAGCAGAAGGGCCGCTGGGACGGAACCAAAGGCAACTTCTCAAGTTAATTGTAAGATTTTATTGGTGTTTCACTCCACTGCTCAAGGGTTTCTCATGTGAATCAATGGCAGACTGCCTAATTTATGTGTGAGCCCTGCTTGAAAAGCAGCCCAGATTGATTTGCTGACAGTGCATGGGAAAAGGTGACCCTAATTTGTGACTTCAGCAGGCCTGCTGGGACAGGGGGTGCTGGAAACTTTGGAAAATGAACTGCAAGTTTTTGCTTTGGCTTGAAAGGTACACCATCCCTGTTCAGTAAAATGCCATTAATTTGGGCTATAGTAGCTCTTCAGTATTATAAAATATATTAATGAGATGTTAAAACCAGTCAAAGTGTTTTTTATCTGAAATGTTTGTTGCTCTAAGATTTTTTAAGCAAATCCTGGAGCTTTGTTGCTGGCCAATGTTGAATTATTTCATTAGTGCCCTGATTAGTCTGATGAGTCTCTTTTCCTTCTCCGTGTTTGTGTTGATAGCCTCAGTCCTTTGCTGAGCTTGCAGGAGAAACAGTAAATAATTCAAAGCAGAGCCTTGCTGCAGAGACCTTTCTTAACTAAAATGAGACCATGAAGGATGGACTGTGAATGCACAGCAAGAGACACAATTGGATGTGGAACAGGAGTGTGAAATGGCTGTGGCACAGACCTGGCAGTGCTTAGAAAATAATCCAGTGGTTTTTTCCTTCATTTTCCACACAAAATCCCTGCATGCCTTCACCTTGGCTCAGTCTCTCACAGCTGGATCCTCCCTGAACTGGGGTGGGTGAGGCGCGTGGGGACGGTGACAGCCGTGGTTGGGTGTCACAGCCATTTCCTTTGGCTTGGGGACAGTGACAGTGGCCAGAGGCTGGGGTTTCCTGCTGACTCAGCGCTGACATCCTGCTGTGCCACCGCTGTCCCTGTCACCCCTTTCAAGCTGCAGCTCATTATCTCGATTTAATTTTGTCTGTGCTGAGCCTCTGTCTCGAACCTTTCAAGTGTCTTTTAGGCTTTTGCCTCTGATCTAGAATTCCCAGTGATTGGAGATTGCCAGAGCGAGCCGGGGTGAGCAGCGAGAGCCCAGGCAATTCCTAAACCTCCTGTGCCCAAAACCAGCCCAGGCCTTTTCTCCCACACTCCTTTTGAATGGGTTGGCTCCTCTTTGTGGGCTCCAAAGCTGGGCTTAGTCAGATGTTCCTCAAAGCTGCTGGGGAAGGGGGGCCAGGGCGGGCTGGCTCCTTGCTCATGAGAAGCTTTTCTATATATAAAACTGCGTGGCTGGCTGCTGGTAGTGCTAATGAAACCCTCTGTTAACTCCTTCACCCACCAGCAGCAGGTACAGCAGGTGCCACTGGCTCTCCCCAAGTCGTTTTGCTAATTGAGGGCAAGTTCTTAATTGCAGGCACTCAGCCCTGCATTGCAGAACCACTGCTGCCACAACCCCGACTGTCAGCGATGAGGAAATGGTGAAACAGCCTGAAAAAAAGGGAATAAGTCCAAGCCCAACTGCAGGGGAGAAGTAAAAAAAAACCCACAAACTGAAAAGAGTCAGTTCTTCCTGCAAAAATTTCATACAACAGAGATTCACCTCAGGGGATTGATTGCACGAACCTGCGGAAATATGGGGATTTAAATACTGCAGGCAGCTAATTCAGCTCTTCCTGCAGCTGAAGGAACGTTCTTTAGCTGCAGGAATACTTTTGGAGGAGGCTTTGCTTTGCATGGGAGCAGCTGGCTGAGAATGGCACCTGTGTGTGGAGTCACCTGCTGGCAGCTGGCGTGTGACACCGAGCGTGGATGGGGGCCAAGGTGAGGTGAGGGGGGTGGGCTGCTGGAAGGAGACCTGGTGGAGGGATGGTGGCATCCAGCTCTGGGATTTGCTGTCCTGCTTCCCAGTTTGTGGCTGCTCTGCTCTAGCTGAAGCTGTCGTGCAGTGGGATTTGGTGTGAGCTGCTCATCCCAATCTCCAGTTCTCCAGCAGGCACGGGCTGCCCTCTGCCCCCTCGCACATCATCTGCTGCCTCTCACAACCTCCCAAAGGCAGGGATGGCTCCAGCCTCCTCCCAGATCAGAACTTCAGCCCAGCTGCAAAACATCCAACTCCATCTGAAAGCCAGTTTGTCCTTCCCTTGTCACAGCCCAGGTCCCATCCCTGTAGCCACATCACCACACGGCTCTGGCAGCTTTGGCTGCCCATTCCCTGCTCCCTGCAGGAGCCTTTCCATCACCCTCTGCTGCTGAGGAGAGCAAATCCAGCAGTTTTCCATCAGAGCTGGCATTTCAGAGCAAGGCTGTCACTGCAGGGAGGAGCTGTCCCCTCAGAGCTGCTGGGCACAGCTGGGCACTGCAGTAAAGGCACAAGCAAACTCTCTCCAGCACTGAAAAGAGAAGAACCAGCTTCTCGTGAATTTTGTGGTTCCTGAAAAGACTTCTGGGTGTGTGGAGTTGGGGTTGTGCTGCTGTGCAGCTGCACCTTCACGAGGTGGCCAGGTGTGGTGGGGTCTGTGTCCCCGAGGGGAACGTTCCTGCTGCTGAGAACGCCGAAGGTGGGTGAGGGAACAGATGGAAAACTGCTGGATTTGCTCTGCTCAGCAGCAAAGGTGATGGAAAGGCTCCTGCGGGGAGCAGGGAATGGGCAACCACAGCTGCCAGAGCCGTGTGGTGACGTGGCTGCAGGGATGGGACCTGGGCTGTGACAAGGGAAGGACAAACTGGGTTTCAGATGGAGTTGGGTTTCCAGCTGTTTTCCAACTGGGCTGGCCTCTGAAGCTCTGTGCTTCTCATCCCTGCCTTTGGGAGGGTGTGAGGGGCAGGAGATGATGTGTGAGGGGGCAGAGGGCAGCCCGTGCCAGGGATGCTGGAGAGCTGGAGATTGGGATGAGCAGCTCACACCAGATCACCAGGAATGGGACAGGTCCAGCCTGTGGTGAGGGATTGGCCTTGGGGACTTGTCAAGGACCTTTTCCAAATGAGCATTTTACAGCTCTGTTGGTTTTATTTAGAATTAATCCTCTTGCACTTGTGTAAGCACCTAAATAAAACATGACTCATTTAATTAATTACACTGAAATCATGGGACTGTACAACTTCACTTCAGGTAGGAGTTATTTTATCTCCTCTAATGATTAAAGCATCAGTTCATGACACAAATTAAACTTTAAAAAATATATGGTAAGGGGACTCTAACCTACTATTTTGTGTTTGGGTTTGTTTTTTGGGTTTTTTTATAACTAAAAGGAGCTACTGGAAATTTGTTGAGATTTTTGGGAATATTTAAACCATTTTCTGTACATTAGGTAGGAAATAGTGAAACAGTGTCCTCACTGTGCTGACTTTGGAATCATGTGATGAATGTATGACCACTTCAGAAATGCACCTGCTGAGTTTTGCAGGATATTTCCTGCAAAAGCTGGTCAGGAAAGTGCAAAAAAATGGCAAAAGAATACTTCAAAAAGTGTTTGAGGGTAAATGTGCATCTGTGAGAGAATGCATTAGTCATCCTGACCTCTTTTATTGCAGCATAAAAACAGCTTTGAATTTGAAAACACTTCTCATCTCTCTCTCGCTCTCTTGAAGTAGTTCCTTCCATTTTTTTTGTGTGCACTTTTCCTAATGTGGTCACCCTGTGCTGGACACTGGGGAGGCCAGCCTGGAATTCTGGGGGCACTTTGGACCCCTTGTGACATTGAGCACGTCCAGGGGAAGGGAGCAGAGTCCCAGGAGGGGCTGAGGGAGCTGGGAAGGGGCTGAGCCTGGAGCCAAGGAGGCTCAGGGGCCCTTGTGGCTCTGCACAGCTCCTGCCAGGAGGGGACAGCCGGGGGGTCGGGCTGTGCTCCAGGGAACAGGGACAGGAGCAGAGGGAACGGCCTCAGGCTGGGCCAGGGTGGATTTTGGGAAAATTCCTCCATGGAAAGGTTTGTCCAGGCCTGGCACAGCTGCCCAGGGCAGTGGTGGAGTCCCCATCCCTGGAGGGATTTAAAATCCATGTGGATGTGGCACTTGGGGACACAGGACAGTGGTGACCTTGGCAGTGCTGGGGAACAGCTGGACTGTGTCTCAGAGAGCTTTTCCAACCTAAAAACTTCCTTGATTCTGTGATGGAGTTTTTTGATCTGACAGCTGCCTATTCCAAGCTGACCTGGGTAGTTTTAGATACGACAGCCCTTGCATTGCTTTATTCAAAGCTGCTCGGGCATGGAAAAGAAATCTCTCCTTTTTCCCCCCCTTCATTTCCAGATCTGTGGGGCTGCAGATAAGCCAGCCGTGCAACACATGAGCAGGCAATGTATATTTTTTCCCAAATTAAGGCTGCAGAGTTCATTATGCTCCTGGTTTTAATTCACTTTATGTCACAGAATATCAACACAACTGTTTTGAGTAATCCTGGTGAGCAAAGGAAATAAGAGAAAAGGGATTCCTGTCGCACTCAGTGCTGCTGCCTCCTGGTGACCGTGGAGTAATTGGGGTTGGAGGGGACCTTTGAAGCTCCAGCCCATCCACTCCTGGGTGCATTTGTAGAAATCCCATTGATTGAAAAATTCCCCCAGTGCTTTTCAAGTGGCAAAGTCACTCTGTAAGGGTGGCATGTCACCACCAGTGTCAGCTAATCCTGGCTGCAGCAGCCCCGTTAATGCAGTGCTTAATCTGCTGGTGACAACCTGTGATTTATATTCCCGGGAGATCCCAGCCTTGCTAATTGAAATGGATTGGAACTCGTGTTCTCCATGATGGGCTGGGTTTGGAGACTCAGGAAAGACACACTGAAATAGCTGAACTGGGTGGAATTTAAGAATTAGTGTTACAAAAGTGGTAATTTTTGTCTGCATTCAGGTATTTCTCTTTAAATACCGCTTTTTGGAACAAATAATGGATTTGCCACATCTGCTGACCTCCTCTTCTATGGAAATCAAAGCAAATATAATAATTTGTCCACCTGAATTAGACACAAAGTGACTAAATGAGCAAGACAGTCTATCAAGCTTGATTATTCCAAATGGAAATTGATTTTACTCAGTTAATTGGGTGCTTTGCCTCACTCGGTCTCTTACGTGTAAATGATTATTTTGATTTGTAATTTTTTAATCTAATTATTGCCATCTCTTTGAAATGATCTTTACTGAGGCTATTTGTATAGAATACATGAGGAATTTTTACAGTCAGATATAATTTTGTGGGCTGTTATATGAAATTACAGATCATTATAAAATTATATATTTGTCCCTTAAATTCCCCTGTTCTTTCTGAAGGGGTTGGAAACAAAGCTTGCCTGTTTTTTATTTGCAATGTTGCAAATACGTTTACAGCAATGTTGAGTGTGCTGTAAAGAGTTCCATTAAAAAATTATGGGATTTATGGTAAAAATTTAATGTTCATCATGAAAATAATTTTCTAATTTATCAGTGGCTGAACTTAGAGGAACATTTCCCAAGCAGAGAGATCCCTTCTTGAGTTTCTTGCATGGACCATGTGCACAAACATCTCCACAAACTCCATTCCTTTTTTTTCCTCTGGACTTCAGGATATCCTGAGTCTTGAGGAAGAATTACAAGGATTCAAAAATATGAAAATGAAAACTTGATTTGTTTGAATTTTTTAAAGCTCCTGAATGTTAGAGCGATATCAAAACATGGGACTTGATCAAACTTCTGGAAGTTGGATTTGGGGCTCAGTGTCTAACTCCAAGTAACAGATGGTCATGGAATGGTTACCCCGAGAGGAGGAATTCTGAAAAGCTGGTTCCAGCTGGTGGCCGTGGAGGGTGGGGTGTCCCTGTGAGCTGAGGGCAGGAATCTGAGTCCTGCTGCTCGCTGGCCAAGGTGGGGATGGGGATGGAGGGGCTGGCTGTGCTCACAGGGGTCTGTGGGACGGCACTTCCCAGAGCTGTTTGTTCATTTTCCTTGGAAACACCAGGAATGAAGGGTTTAACTCCAGCTGGACGGGGCTTGGAGCACTCTGGGCTGGTGGAAGGTGACCCTGCCCAAGGCAGGGGTGGGGTGGGCTTTAAGCTCCCTTCCATCCCAAACCATTCATGGTTCCATCTTGATGCGAGTTCCTGATTTCTCCCCTTACTTTGGAAAAGGGAGGAGCCCTTCTCTTCCCAGGTGTTTTGTAAACAATTAAGGGAACAGTTTTGGGAATGCTGCAGCATTGATTGCTTGCCCTGATGACATAATGGGGCAATAAAGCCCTCACCACAAATGAGGTCATGAGAGAGCAATTCCAGTTAAACTGTAACCTGGCACTGCCTGGGATGGGTCAGCAGACACAGTCCCTGACTATTTTGAAGCCAGGGCTTCAGGAAAAAGAAAACAGCTGCAATCATCCCAACTGGAAGTGGGAGCAGCTCCTGGTGCCTTGGATTCCAGCCAAGAAGGAGCTGCTGTGCCAGCTCACCTGCTCCAGGTAGGAGAACCCTCAGGCAGCTGGAAAAACAGGCACTGGCGCTTGAGATTCTTGTCATGGAATGCCAGAATGGTTTGGCTTGGAAAGGACCTTAAAGCCCAGCCCATTCCATCCCTGGGCAGGGACAACTTCCACCATCCCAGGGTGCTCCAGGTTCCATCTAGCCTGGCCTTGGACACTTCCAGGGATCCAGGGGCAGCCCCAGCTGCTCTGGGGAATCTTTACAGGGACCAGCAGGGTGTTGGGGTTTATGAGTGGAAAGCAGGAAGAGCAAAGAGAGAGTGACTGTTGTCTCCTCTTTCCCTTTTTGGTGTTTTTGTTGGTTTTTTAAAACTACCAGATTTTTGGGGTTGGCACTTGCTCTTAGTGTGGCCTGTGGCTTTGTCAGCCTGCAGTGACCAGGCTTTGTGTCTCTCATTTTTAATTCTGTTTTCTGAATTGATGGTGCTTATCCTTGCAAATGTGACTGTTGTAGCACTGGGAGGGCAGGACCTGAGTTGGGAGGAAAACACAAATCCCACCAGTTTCTCCACTCTCCTCTGTGTTACCTGGAGTGTTTCTTTGATTTTTTTTTTTTTTCCTGCTTTAGGAGGATGCAAGGGAATGGGTATCAATTTAACCTGCTCTGCAGCAGCTGGTGCATCCTTGGGAAAAGGAGCAGGACTCCAGATCTGTGCAGGGCCACGTGACACCACGGAGGTTTTGCTGGCCTATTTTCTCAAAGCCCAGGTTTTACTCTTGAGCTGTCAGGTCAGATGAGGATTCAGTTCTGCGGCCAAAATAGAAATTAGCCATGTGTGGTAATCCATTAATCCCTGGAAATAATGCCATTTATTCACGTTTTGGGGAGCTGGGCTGTCCTCACGACGCCTCCTTGGGCTGCAGGAGGAGCTGGCCAGAGGTGTCCCAGGCTGCCCTGAGCCATTGCTCCTACATTCCAGCTGCTCTGACTCCTTGGACAGGGAAGCTGTGGCTGCCCATCCCTGGGATGCCCAAGGCCAGGCTGGATGGGGCTTGGAGCAGCCTGGGATGGTGGAGGGTGTCCCAGAGGTCCCTGGGATGCCCAAGGCCAGGCTGAATGGGGCTTGGAGCAGCCTGGGATGGTGGAGGGTGTCCCAGAGCAATGGTAAAGTACAGAAAAAATAGATCCATGGGGTTAAACCTGAGGTGCCTGAGCCATTCAGAATAGAATCATGGAATCATTCCAGATGGAAAAGGTCTCCAGGATCATCCAGTCCCAGCTGTGCCCCATCCCCACCTTGTCCCCAGCCCAGAGCCCTGAGTGCCACCTCCAGGAATTCCCTGGACACCTCCAGGGATGGGCACTCCAACCCTCCCCAGGCAGTGCCAGGGCCTGAGCACCCTTTCTGTGACAGAATTCCTCCTGATGTGCACCCTGAGCCTCCCCTGGCACAGTCTGAGGCCAACCCTCATGTCCCTTTGCTATTTCCCTGGGAGCAGAGCTTTTTATTCCAGGGAATAAAGGCTGGATGCAGTAGGATATGAGTTGATAAATTCACTTTTTTATGTTTTAAAGGCAGTTCCTATTTCTTTTTTCAGCAGGGACAGCAGTTGCCCTACAGCAGAGCTGTGTAATAATACCAGTTTGTCTCTCCCTGGATCTTTTCCTTTCCCCTTTCATCAACAAGAGGCTTCTTCTGTAGCACGTGGCTGTCCTTCCTTGCTCAGCCGTGCTTTTCTCCCTGCCTGCTCTCTCAGGAGAGTTGTTACTATATTTTCCTTCTTGTTTTACCAGGCTGTATCATGACTTGGTGCCTTTGTGAGTAAGGAAAATGTGGGAAATGCTGCTGTGCCTGCAGCAGTGGGTTTTTGCTATTTTTTTGTTTTGTTTAGAAAACGGTATCGTTGCAGGCCTGTACGTGAACGCCATAAATACAAATACAGAATAAAATTCATGGTGTTTTTATGGGATTTTTTGTGGGATTGCAGCTTGGGTACCTCCCCATCCACCCCAGTGGGAAGAGAAGGGACAGCATGAGGGGAAACAGCCTCAAGCTGTGCCAGGGGAGGTTTAGATTGGAAATTAGGGAAATTTCCTTTATGGAAAGGTTTGTCCAGCCCTGGCACAGCTGCCCCAGGCAGGGCTGGAGTCTCCATCCCTGGAGGGATTTAAAATCCATGTAGATGTGGCACTTGGGACATGGGGCAGTGGTGGCCTTGGCAGTGCTGGGAATGGTTGGATTTTATGATCTTAAAGGTTTTTTCTAACCTTAATTCCATGATTTTCTGCTTGGTCCTGCTGAGCCCAGCCCTTTGCATCCATCTCAGCTGCAGCTCTTGCATTCCCTTGGAGGTTTCCCTCTCCTTTCTTCAGGACTGGAAATGCAAAGGGCTTTGGCCAAACCCAAAATCTCAGGATTTGCATAATCTTTGTGGATGTGTTTATTTCTGATAAATTGAGGGACACCACAGCGTGTTCCAGCCACGCTTTATCACATCCCAGAGAATTTTTATTTTTTTTTTATCACATCCCAGAGAACAGATTCCAGGGGTCTGGCAGGGAATTGGCATCTGGAAAATGCTCCTGACAGAGATTTGGAGAGAAGCACGGATGTTCCTTTCACTTTCTGCTCTCCTGGAAACCTTCCAGCAACTTCAATTATTCTGTGGGATTTTTTTTTATTTTTTTTTTAAGTAGCTGGATGAATTTTAAGGATGAGAAAGTGAACTCAGCTCTGCCTTGGAAAATCAGCCCCTGCCAGGATTGATTACCTAAAATTCCAGTGGATTTCAGTAGCCTTTGCTGAGGGTGGAAAGCATCCCAACACTCAGCACCTCTTCCCTGTTAATTCCACTTTTATTCTGGCTTTATTCCACATTTCCAAGTCCTCCTTCCTTTCCCTTCCCTTCTGTTCCATTAAGTGCTGCTGTGTGCCCCAAGGTTTCTAATTATAAATATAATATAATTATAAATAGTTAATTTGGGACATTTATATAATGCTCAAAATGATGCAGGCCCAGTTTGCAGGGGGGTGTTGAACACAATTAACTGTCTAATCCCAAGAATGGGATTGGGAAAGAATGGGATTGTAAAACCCCAAGAATGGGATTAGATTGTAAGACATTTAGGCTGCTTAAATTAGAAATAGTAGTAGAAGGAATTGAAGGAGTAAATTAGTAGCAAGCTGGACTGGGGGAAAAAAATTAAGAAAATTAAGTTTGATGCTAATAATATTTTTTATTACTATTATTTTTTTCACTCATTGTATTAGGGAAAAAAAAACAACCCAAAACATTGAGCTTCCCAATTGTGTATCCAAGGAATAGCAGCTGTGTGCTGAGCTTGAATTTACTCCTGGGTGTAGGACCAGGCTTTGGAGGGGCTGGGAATATTTCACTTCTGAGTAACAGCTGTGAGAGCAGTGCAAGGTAGTGTGAAAGTTGTTGTCACGGGAGATTTTTCTATATTTGAGCTTATCCAGGGATTATTTCTGGTGGATTATCCCACTTTACACAGAAAGGCAGGATTTTCTAATGGTTATTCTAATGACTGCCAAATTCCTGGGTTTTTTAGTGTGTTGTGAGGCAGGGCTGTGTAATGCCCTGTGGAAGTTGTACTGTTAAATTCAGTGTATTACCCTGAAACAGGGAGCTCTGGGGAGCAGCATTTCCAGGGACAGAATTTTAGCAGTGGCTGCAGAGCCACCATCTGGATAAATCCTGCCACAAAGCAGAGGTTGTGGGAAATTATTTCTAAATCAAGCAGGACTGTCTAATGGCTGAGATGGGAGCCTCTGCTAATTCATCTGTTCATTAGTGATTGGATAAATCACAACAAATTAATAACAACATTCATTTTCCACCTCTGTTTAGAGGGATTGGAGTATTTCTGGACCTGTTTATTTGTCTCTATCTATGAATTTCCCTGAATCAAGAGACAGCACATTCTCATCACGCTTTTCCTCCAATTTTCTTCACACTGGGAATTATATTCTGGTCTCACCAATGCTGAAATTCTGAGTTGAGAAAGGAGAATTGCTGTGGCAAGCATTCCCCCATGGAATTTATCCATGGAGCCCCCCATCTGTGGCTAAAGGAGTCAAGTGGGATCAGGAAACTCTAGAAGTGTGTGTTAAAGGGACTCGAAGCTTTCTGGTGTTATTTGGCTCCTTGTGGTAAAAAACTTTTCCTCTTTGTTATGAATTTTCCTCTTATCTCTGGGAATGACTCCCAGGATTGTTTCCTCAGTGTCCTCACATGGCTTTTTTTTTATGGAGGGAGCATTTTTGCCCTGATTTCTGGTGTTGTCTGTGAACCATGGCTGAGTGTTCATGTTCAGCCATTCTGTTGCTGGATTTAAAATCTCCTGAATGAATTTTTGGAGTGAACAAGTTGTATTTTCTTTTCCTTTTTGCATCAAAACTGAACATTCAATGCCGAGGTGATGGGAGAGAATAAAACAGGGTTTAAATAAATTTAAATTTCAAGCAGACATTGCTTTTACTTTGGCTTCCTTCTGCCATATCAGTTTGACCTGAAAATTTATCTTCTGCTTTGCTTCCTTGCAGGTCCAGGATGGAACATTCCTGCTCGCTCCTGCTGCTCTGTGTTAGTTTCATTTTTGCACGAGCTCTGCCACCCAATGGAACAGAACTGCCCAAAACAACCACAACAACCAGTAAGGAGTGCCCTGTGGGGCAGGATGGCATGGACCTCGGGGGGTGTCCCTGGTGGCACAGTCCAGGGTGGTTTTGCAGGACTTTGGCCCCCCTGACACAGTTCTGGTGGTGCCAGGTGTCCTCTGGGTTTGCTCTGCACGTGGGTGCTGTTGGGGTTTCACTTTCTCTTTGCCATGGGAAGGAGAACCACGGCAGAGCTGGAGGAGCTGCAGGGGCCAGGAGCTGCCAGGGGGATCTCAGGGGATGTGGGCACAGATAACAGGAAATAAATTTTCATTAGGCAGCAGGATGAATAGGTTGGACACTGTGAGGAGCCTGGACACAAGTTCTGGGTTTTCATGCAAACACTCAAGAAGGGTGCTTTCATTAGGCAGCAGGATGAATAGATGGAAAGACTGTGAGGAGCCTGGACACAAGTTCTGGGTTTTCATGCAAACACTCAAGAAGGGTGTGAGGTGTCCTGTGGAGGGTCCTGCCAGGTGAGAAACAGGAGAGCTGTTCCAGGAGCTGAGAGAGATCTCCTCTCGTGTTAACCTTGTGAAGGCTGACCCAGAGCAGAGGCTGGGCAGAGCTAAAGAATAAAGCAGGGATTTACTCAAAGGATCTCCTCCATGGATGCCCCTTGGGCAGCACCAGAGCCCAGCCAGGGCTGCCCCCAGGATGAACCCAAATGGCCCCAAAATGCACGAGCGCTGCCGGGGTCTCTCCCTGGGCTCAGCTCTGCTCCATGTGCACATTGCAGTTCAGTGTCCAATCCCACTGCAGCCCCTGCAGTCCCATCCTGCTTGTTTTTCTCTCTGCAGCCCACGGGGTTTGTGCTCCTGGGCTGGGATTGGGATCACTTGTCCTTGGTGCCCAGCTGGAGCAGGAATTGTTTTGTCTCCCTGCTCTGTGCACAGAGCTCAGCATCCCTGATGTGAACCCAGACCCACACACTAAAGCAGCACAGAATGTGGAAAATAGAAAAGCCAAACCTGAGGCATCACTCTTGGCCACCACAGCACCTCATATTCATCCTCATTTATGTTTGCAGAATTTCCTCCTCCTCAAACCCTCCCAGAACCATGTCCTGACACGTGGCAGTCCTGGGGAGGGGCATGTTCAGGGGAATTTGGGGGGTTTGAGGAAGTGCCCAAGGCCAGGTTGGACAGGGCTTGGAGCAGCCTGGGATGGTGCAAGGTGTCCCTGGCAGGGGTGGGATGGGATCCTCTCAGAGGCCCCTTCCAGCCCAAAGCAGGGTGATGGAGCTGCTGATGTCCCATATGAGCAATGTGACCACGTTTTGATGACTGTTCAGGTCGCTGTTGTTGACACCCAGTGTTTCATAGAAGGCTGATTTATTGCTTTATTTGCTTTTAATCTGTTTGTGAACTTTACACCCCTGGGGAAGGAGAGGAATCAAATGCCAGGCTGGGCTCATGGCCCCTGGGATTGTTTTGTTCTTGGTTGTAGTCATTTAAATGGAAATAGGGGAGATTTAGATGGGAAATTGGGAATAAAATGAGGGTGGGCAACCCTGGCACAGGGTGCCCCTGGATCCCTGGCAGTGCCCAAGGCCAGGCTGGACACTGGGGCTGGAGCACCTGGGACAGGGGAAGGTGTCCCTGCCATGGCAGGGGTGGAATTGGATAATTTTGAGGGTCTTCTCATCCCAGACCGGTCTGGGATTTGCTGCTAAGTGAGGTGTGAGCATTTTCCTCTGCAGAGTCTGACTGCAGGCTGGGTGCAGCCCTGGCTGGGCACTCCAGGGCTCTGCAGGGGGAGTGGAGCTTGGGGGACAAGGGGCTCCACCATCAGCAGTGACAATCTGAGCGTGGCTGTGCTTAGTGCTCCCAAAAAAACCCAAATTATTCACAGAAATGAAGCTTTAGCCGAGTGTGAATTTGCTAATTAATCAGTTTGAAGTATTGTCAAGTAGTTTTTGGTCCCTGCTTCTTGTCTGGCACCTGCAGCTGTAGAAAAACAAGTTACTAATATTGGGCTGAATATGTCAGGATATGGGAATTGAGAAGGGGAAGTCACTTGTTGTTTTTATCACTTCCCAGAATTTTAATAACATGAGTACAAAGGGAGTTTTGCTATCAGTGTTGTTCATCTTCAGAGCTTAATTCCAAATTGTGTTGGATTTAGGTCTGATGATATGGATCTGATCATTCCTATTTTAATTAAATCTTAATTTCAGTGATATGATTCAGAAATGATTGGTGTGACTAAAATTTTCTTTCCTAATTATCAAAGCCTTCCTGGCTTTGCAGTGAGGAAGAGTTTTTTCTGACAGAGAAGTAGGTGCACCCTGAAAATTACATTGGTGCAGAAAGAGAACCAAGATAATTGGATTATCTAATAAATTTAGCCATTGAATTAATACGGCATTTTAAAATACAAAAATAAAGACTTTTGATTGAAGCATAAAGAAAACTTCATTTAACAGACTATGGAAAGAACTAAAAGAGCCTAAAAAAAATCAGCTTTCCTTTTGCATGCTAATTTGATGTGTGATCCCAAAAGATACTTTTGATTCTGAAAGGAATAGATAGCAATGATTCCATGTCATCATTTGAGCTGCCTTGATTTTTTAAAGATTTGCTGAATTACAATGTCAGCTTTATTCTTATTTAAAACATGGTTACCTTGTCTGGATGGGTCGATTTTTAGCACTGCTGCCATTTTACCTCCTGCTAGAACACCCTGAAATTGCAGCCATGAAATTGCTACCTTGAAATTTCCCTTTTAGAAAATGAGAATATTCTGGGGTTTATTGCACTGCCATTTACTGGAAATTTGCCCTGATCTTTACTCCAGGTATTCAACTCCATTAAATAAATATAAACCATCAAACCACAGAATGGTTTGGGTTGGAAGGGAGCATCTAATTCTGGCTTCCAAGCTAATATTTATTAGGTTTGCATAAATAAATGTATATTTGCAGTGGGGATATCTTCATGCTCCCAGATCCTTGTTGCAGACTGTTTATTCATGATATTGCCCGTGACCATCCCGTAACTCCTGGTAATTCAAATATTTGTAAGTTCCCCAGGATTAATCATAGTCTGGATTGTTTTACTTCCTCTTGCATTTTTACTTGTGGAGTTGTTGAAATGTGCAAGCAGCCTGGGAGCTGCAATTATAAACCTTCAAAAACCTTTCCAAATGTTTACATTCCAGTGGTATTTACTCCATGAGGGTTCCTGGTGCCTTTGAATCCTCACAATTCCTTCCCATCCCTGCTGTCTGAACCTTCAGAGGCAATGAAGTTATCAGAGGAGCTGCAGGTTCAGAGGCAGGAAAATGGAGCAGATCTGGGGCTCCTCTTTGGTGCTGGTTTCAGCTTCCAACAAGTCAGTGGGAATGTGAAAATGAGATTTTGTGTCTCTCCACTCTGGAGACACCGTGTCCAACCCTGGGGTCCCTGCATGGGGAGGACCTGGAACTGTGGGAATGAACCAAAACGTTCAGTGGGATGGAGGAAAGGCTGGGAGGGCTGGGATTGTTCAGGCTGGGGAAGAGAAGCTTTGGGGTGACCTCAGTGTGGCTTTCCAGAGCCTGAAGGGGCTTCAGGAGAGCTGGAGAGGGGCTGGGGACAAGACATGGAGGGCCAGGACACAGGGAATGGCTCCCACTGCCAGAGGGCAGGGCTGGATGGGAGATTGGGAATTGGGAATTGTTCCCTGGCAGGGTGGGCAGGCCCTGGCACAGGGTGCCCAGAGCAGCTGGGGCTGCCCCTGGATCCCTGGCAGTGCCCAAGGCCAGGCTGGACACTGGGGCTGGAGCACCTGGGACAGGGGAAGGTGTCCCTGCCATGGCAGGGGTGGCACTGGGTGGGATTTTTGAGGTCCCTTCCAGCCCAAACCATTGTGTGACTCTGTAGTCCAGAGGCGGGACTTCCCTATGAGGCTTTTGGTGGTGGTTTCATGGAGAAAATGAGGCAGCGTCAGAAAACTGAGTTATGGAGGAGGAGTCTGGCTCATTTTATTTGGTATTTAAATGCCAGAGGGATTCTCTGCAGACACTCAATTCCAAGAATTAGTTTGCAAAGCAGAACTTCAGAAATAGGTGGTTTCAGATCGGGGGTAGGACTGGGTGACATTTAAAGGTCCCTCCAGGTCAGACTCAGATTGTGTGGCTGCAGTGCCAGGTGGGCTGGGCTGGCTTTGCCCAGTGGGGTTCAGCTCTGAGATGTTAAACTCACATTGACTGGTACTGATGCCTTGTGAAGGCTGACTTAGAACAGAGACTGCATGGAGCTCCAGAATAAAGCAGGGATTTACTCAAAGGATCTCCTCCATGGATGCCCCTTGGGCAGCACCAGAGCCCAGCCAGGGCTGCCCCCAGGATGAACCCAAATGGCCCCAAAATGCACGAGCGCTGCCGGGGTCTCTCCCTGGGCTCAGCTCTGCTCCATGTGCACATTGCAGTTCAGTGTCCAATCCCACTGCAGCCCCTGCAGTCCCACCCTGCTTGTTTTTCTCTCTGCAGCCCACGGGGTTTGTGCTCCTGGGCTGGGATTGGGATCATTTGTCCTTGGTGCCCAGCTGGAGCAGGAATTGTTTTGTCTCCCTGCTCTGTGCACAGAGCTCAGCATCCCCTGATGTGAACCCAGCCCCACACACTAAAGCAGCTCAGAATGTGGAAAATAGAAAAGCCAAAGCTGAGGCATCAGTACCTGCTGGCTGTGGGTACTGATTTCTCTCTTCTACCTGTTTGTTTTCCTTTGCCCTTCCTTTATTTCACATTTATTTCTGATTTGGGTTTTACTTCACACATCCCAAACAAATCTCCTGGTTATCAGCTGCCCATCAGCTGCTTCCCTTCTGCAGCCATGGCACGGTTGGGGTTTTCTCTTCCAAAAATAGCCTGAGAGGGTTTAGTGTGGGTTTTGTCATATTTCCTGTTGGACATTTGTTTGTGATATCTCTGGGTTTTGAAAAGAAGATCAGACCTGTGCAGAAATAGAGTTGGTTCTTGTGGGATTTCTCCTGTGCTCAGATAAAAGAAGATTTTGTTTCGTGTCACTCACCAGAATAATTTCAGGTTTAGGGCAAACTTTGCCCTGCCAGCTTGCTTTTCTAGAGGGGGAAAAAGTATTTTAATCACACACTTTTGATCATGTCCTCCTGGTGATTATCCCCCTCTCTGGGGAATACTAAAGCCACTTCTCCATTTTTATCTTTAAAAAAATACCCTTGGGAGGATCTTTGGCTGGCTGTGAACAGAAGTCCTGGTGGTTTTGGGCCCCAGCTCCTGGAGTGAGTGCAGAGGGAAAGTTTCCCTGCTTTGGAGGATTTGCCTCTCCTGCATCTGTTTGCTCCAGTCATAAATTTTTGTAGCAGCAGTGATTGAAAAGTGATTTCAGGCCTTTGTTCCCCTTGAAATCCCTCTTGGTCTGGAGACAGTTGTGTTGGCCAGAGGTGTTTCAGCCTCTGAGCCTGCACTGGCCTCAGTTTTAACTTTCTCATGCAATTTCTGGGCTACATTTATAAATTGACTGATATTAAAGAAAATAGAGGTAAAAAATGAAACCACAGTGTGCCTTACTCCCAGGCTCTGCAGGGATGAAGCCATTGGGGAGCAGCTACAAGGATCTGGGAACAGATGTGCCCAGCTATAAAGAAAAAGGGACTTCTAGTGACTTTTGACCCAATTTCCTTGTGAAATGGTAGGAGGAGAGGTGAGATCTTGGGACAGAGAATTAAATCAGTCGTGGTGGGGGTGCTCTGTCCTTGACTGAAGAAGTGAGGGCAGTTGTCTGGCAGAAGGTTCAGCTTCTCTTTTCCTGGCTGGGATTGAGTTTTCAGTGTTTGCCTGGGAATCAGTTCTCCACAGACACCCCAAAAATGGTGCAGCAGTTCTGTGAAAGGAAGAGAGGGGTGATTTTCTTTTATTGTGTAATTGTCTGGGGGAAGTTTTAATTCCCTCATGGTGCAAACTTGTTGTTTCCCCTCTCCTGTCATGGGTCTTGTCTCAGAGCTGAAGAGAACCAACACAACCCCCAAATCTGGCACCCTGAGGGTGACATTTCTAACTCCATGGGAATGGCTGCATCTTGTCTGTGAGGGACAAAAGCAGGGAATTTTTTTGGTGTTTGTTTCCTTGCCAGCCTTGGCTCCCAGACAGAGCTGCAAAGCACCCCTCAGAAAGCGTTGGGTGGTTGTTCATCCTCATCCAGCCACTCCTTCCAAGAGTGGTTTCCTGAACCCCTGCCAAGCCATGGCTCCTGACTGCAGTTTTGTCATGCCTGTCACTTTTATCTTTACACACCCCCTAAAACTCATCCCTCATGCCTTTTATTGCCTTCCCTGTCTGGGAATTACGGTGTTGATTTATGAGCCCTTTTTCCCTGTGTGTCCTGAGCTCACCTGTGCCTCTCCAGGAATTGTTTCCCATGCCCTCAGACCCTGTGGAGCACCCAGAGAGTTTCCAGCTGCTCCCAACACTCAGATGAGTTTTGTAGCCATCAATTTGGGTATTTGTCTGATCCACAGGAATCCTTCCTGGATTATTGCAGGTGTTACCTACTCCTAATTTTTTTTTTTTTTTTTAATCACAGGATTATTTGGGGTGGAAGGGAATTTAAAAATCATTCCACCCTCCCCGCCATGGCAGGGACACCTTCCCCTGTCCCAGGTGCTCCAAGTCCTGTCCAGCCTGGCCTTGGGCACTGCCAGGGATGCAGGGGCAGCCCCAGCTGCTCTGGGAATTCCATCCCAGCCCTCCCCACCCTCCCAGCCAGGAATTCCTCCCCAACATCCCATCCAACCCTTCTGTCTGTCAGCTCTCAAAGGCCACTGTAGGAATGGTAAAAAAAAACTCTTTAAAGTGTGTAAATGTAGTTTAAAAGAGAAAATCTGAAATACCAGCAGCAACAGAAATTGCCCTAATTTTGAAAGAGTGGTTGTAGGGTTGTGTTTTGCTTGCTGAAGGTTCAGACTGGGAGTTTGGCTTCCTTAAATAAAACAGCTTGGGTTTTTAATGATTTTAATCTGTTCCGTATTGAATTATTCAGCAGAACTAAAAGGTTACAGAAGCATAATGAAAGTGAAAGGTAAAGAGACACTTCCACAAAACACTGTGAACAGAAGGGTGAGACTCAAGGCTTGTACCAGATATAACAAAGATGTTCTTTAATCTCCGTTCTGAGAAAAATGTCATTATTTCTGCTTGTTCTTATATGTATATAGAATTTCAGTGAATAAAATCTCTTAGAATTTCAGTGACTAAAATCCCTGTGAAAGGTGGCATTTTCTGTATTTATATGAGAGGTGGTTGAGAAGCAGCTGATGTGTATAAGGGCACTGCAGCAAACCTTTTAATGGGCTTCAGATTCAGATTGGTACTTTCTAGCTGTTCAACTTTCTCTGATTACAGGGAAACTGAAAAATATCTTGGATTTTCTCAGCAGCAGTTGTTTGATTGTGCTTTTGACAAGGGAAAAAAAATTAAAAATTAAAAAAAAAATTAAAAATAATTAAAAATTTTAGCTTTGCCTGTGTCAAGTATGATGAAGCTTTTAGTAGCAGAGGCAGATAATAGGACAGAATTTTTGGTGCCTTCAGCACAGTTTTTGTGCCAGATGAGACAATCCACGTCTGATATTCCACATTTCTTCTTCCATCCCCAGACTCCACCGAGGAGAACACCTTGCACAAGGAGCTGCTGACCTCCCTGCTGATCCTGGTGCTGGTGGTGGTCATTTTCGTGGTGCTGGTGGGGTATTTTTTCAGGTGGGTGTGGGTGGGCTCAGCCCATCCTTTCCTTGTGCCCTCCCACGGAAGCAGACGCGAGGCAGAGCCGCGGCCGTGCCCGCCCTGCCAGCATGAACAGAAAGAGCTTCTCCAGGATTACGTGGTCTGTAAAAAAAGGGTCTGGGGGGGAAATGCTGCTTTCCTCTTGCCACGGTTGTGGATTGATGTGGTGCCTCTGTTCCAGGTTCAGGAGACACAGGAAAGCTGTGGTCAACTCCGGAGACAAGAAGATGCCAAATGGGATCTTGGAAGAACAAGGTATGGGGAGATTTGCTTTCAGACTCTCATTTTTATTTCTGTCTTTAACTCAAAATTACTCAGTGTTTGCTTTTATTTCTAATCTAAGTTGTTACTAAAGAGAAAATAGTCTGAAAAAATACAGTCACAAATGGTTTGAGTTGGAAAGGATCTTAAACTCATCCAGCTCCAACCCTGTGCCATGTGCAGGGACATCTTCCAGCCCCTGGCTGTCCCCTCCAAGCTGGCCTTGGACTGGAGATCCATATTTAGAAATCCATACTCCAGCAGTCTGCGGAAAATCTTAACTTTCAGTTGCCGGTTTGAAATAGGTTTCACTTTAAGTTGTGTTGCAGCAAATGTTTCTGTGTAAAAGTTTCCTGGGCTCTTTGGAGGTGTTTTACCAGAGATAGCAGCTGAGATCCATGTTTGTGACATTGTGATGCTTATATCTGGGGCAGGAACTGCAGTATTTCTTCTTAAAATGGGGTGGAAAGTCCTTAACACTTTGTGAATACAGTAGGTGGTTTCTGAACGTGGGGCAGTTTGAAGCCAGAGGCACTGAAATAAAACACTCTGGGGAGTTCAGAATGTTTCCCCCAGGTTTGAGTTGTGCTGGGTTTGTTTCTGCCCGTGGGGAGCCCCGGGCTGGCTCCTCAGGGGGCCCAGCTCAAACCTGGAAGGGATGAGCAAGTTGTTTTAATCACAACCCAGAGAAAAACGATCAAGTTAAAGATAAAATAATCTGTCTGTGGTTTGTGTCAGTCCCACTTGGCCATGTGTGAAGGGATGAGTGAGCCGAAGAGGGTGGCAGGCGGAGGGAAAGTCAAAACCCTAAAAATACCCATCAGCTTCCTGCTGGGGTGTTCTTGTGCACAGGGCAGCAGCTCCTCTTGGGGCACAGCTTCTGTTGGCTGCCAAATTAAAGATAAATTTATTATTATTATTAGCATTATTTCCCCTTGAAATGAAATAATCTGGCAGCATCTCCTTGGTGGTAAGTGCCAAAAGCTGTCCTTGCCTTGTCAGCAGAAAGAACCTTCTCCTTTTCTGAATACAACTTGATCACTTTTAAATCAAATGTAAATAAAGAAATCACTCATTTCACCAGCAGTGGCTCTTCTTGATGCCATTATGTTCCCAAAGCAGGCACTTGGCCTATGATTCCGTGTTTTAATTTCCTTTAAATCCCCTTTAGCACCTCAGAGTGTCATGGCAGCAGTTTGCTTTGGCATCTTTCAGCACCCAGATGAATTTGTAGTTGGGAGTCCCTGGCTCTGGCCATGCCTTTAACACATCCTGCCCTTGTGCTGACAGAACAGCAGCGGGTCATGCTGCTCAGCAGGTCTCCCTCGGGCCCCAAGAAGTATTTCCCCATCCCTGTGGAAAACCTGGAGGAGGAAATCCGGATACGCTCGGCCGATGAGGGGAAGCTCTTCAGGGAGGAGTTTAATGTAAGTTTTTACACATGGGTGGCTGAAAACGGGGGAAAACAAAAATATCTGTGAGTATTAATAATTCTTGTGTTGGGTGCAGGATTGGTGCTGTTCTTACAGGCTCTGTCATGTGTGGGGACCTTTTATCTGGATAAAACCTGGAATTTTTACTGATTTGTGATGCTGAATTGGTGCTATATGAGCTGTTTGCCTCTTGCTAACATTTAAAGAAGGTCTTTAGTGTTTGCCTGAAGCTGGAGGAGAGGAACATTGAATATGAACCTCTTCAGCACTGACTTTCATGATGGTGGTGGAGGGTTTTGGGGATCTGGGTGTTTCACCTCCATGGGAAGTACTTAGAGGAGAGGACACAGGGTGGCCTTAACACTGCCCTGGTGGGGTTTGGCTTCTTTTTTCCTGATAATTTGACTTTTTGCTGTTGGTTGCCATCCCAGCACTCCCCTCTTTGAGCACAGAGTTCCTGAGTTGTCTCAGCTCTCAGGGTTTTCCTGTTGAACATGGCCTTGGGCAGGATTTTGTGGTTGTAGGGATGAGCTGCACCTGGAGTCTGTGCTGAGCTCCTGCAGGATTCCTGGGGACAAACACAGCACCAGGAGCCTGAGTTTGGGGCTTTTTCCAGACTTTTTATGACTTCACTTCCCTCCACAGCAGAAGCAAAGCAGGAGCTTAAATGTCAGGCGTGGATTTGTGAGAGCCAAGGCACGTGTTGATCAGGCAGGCTGTTGAGCTACCTTCTTAATTGGGAGCATATTTAGAGCTGCAGTTTGGTTGATGATAAATTTAAACCACAGACTTTTGCCTTATCAGACAGAGAGCATTGTGGAAATCCTTCTCAAAGCTGAAAATGAAAGTGAGGACCAGCCTGACACGGTGTGCGCTGGTGAATTTTGACTCTCCTGATGAATTTGCTCTGAGGTTCAGAGTGAAACAAACCATCTGTTTTCATTTTTAAACCCCTCTTTGCTTTGGTAATTTTCTGCCCCATGCTGTGAGCATGTGGGATTCTGTCCACACCCAAAAACCTGGGGTCTGATCCCCAAAAATGAGCAGGGATGGGGTTGGACGGGGTTGATGCTCAGTGTGGTTTTTTTCCTGTGCCTGGATGAGCTGTCTGCTCCAGCCTGGGAGGGCTGGCAGTGCCCCAGGCCAGGTTGGACATTGGGGTTTGGAGCAGCCTGGGACAGGGGAGGTGTCCCTGCCATGGCAGGGTGGCACTGGGTGGGATTTAAAAGATCCTCCCAACCCAAACCATTCCATGATTCTCTGGGTCTGTGCCTCAGCCCTGCCCTGGGGATGCTCCAGGGATCTCTGCCCACTCCCCATCCCACATGTCAGGGGCCAGGCATCCCTGGAAATGCAGATGCAGGAGCGCCAGTGGGAATTAGGGACAAATTTGGGCTGAAAACAGTGAGTTCTGGGAGCCAGGCACATGCACCAACCTGAGGGGTTTGGTCCCAAGGGAGTTTTTGGATAAAAAGAAACCAGACATTAAAAGATGACACCCAGCAGGGAGAAAAGAGTTTTGAGGACAGTTCCTGACTTTGAGGACAGTTCTCTTGGATTTATGTGCCTAATGGTGTTCTCCAGCACCTTTGATTTTGTCCTGAAAGCCTGCATGACCCTCCAGAGGTCCATTGCACCCCGTGGACACTCACCAGAATAGCAGAGGCTCCTTCTTTTTTCATGTGATTCCTTTGTGAACATTGAGCACTGGAAGAGTGTGTTCTTTCTTCACAGGAAGAAAAAAAGAAAAAAAAATTGATTTCTTTCTGTAAAGCCCCACCTCTGCTGATCATCCCTGGAAGTTTGGGGTTATTGCCTTGATTTTCAGATTAATTACTGAAAAGCTTCCCCGAAGAGTTTTCTTTGGAAATTTGAATTCTGGCTTGATTAAGACATCGCTGTGCTTGTTGAGTGCTAAAAAAGGAGAAAATGATCCTGGGCGGGCTGAGCCTCTCAAAGCTCCAGTGGGATTTTGGGGGGGGACAGGTCAGGGTGGGGTGGCAGCAGATGGGGCAGGGCCAGCAGGACCCGTCAGCTCCTCGTGGTTTGGGGAGCTGGGAGGATGTGCTGGGGAGCAGGCGGGTGATTCACATCCTGGCGTGGGTGGGAGCAGGAGCTGGGCTCTGCTCTGCCCCAGCACCCGCCCTGTGGCACTGGAGCTGCCTGGGGAGGAGCAGGGCCCTGGGGCAGGGCATGCACAGGGGCTCTGGCCAGAGTCAATTCCTTTTCATGCGTTTTTCACGGGAAAATCCGGAATTTCTCTGGCTGTTAACTGGAAATTGGGTGCCTGACTTGATTGTGTTTGAAAAGATAATTATTTCATAAAGTCACAGAATGGTTTGGGTTGGAAGGAGCTTAAATTTCATCCAGTTCTGACCCCTTGCCATGGGCAGGGACACCTTCCTCTATTTCTTTTTACACAAAAATTTCATTTTTGTGTTTCATAAATGTACTTTAATCAGCAAAATGGGCTGATAAAGAGCCATAACCTTCATTCACTTCAGGAATTAAGCAGTCTGCTGACAGCAGCTTTCTTCCTCAGCCCTCTTTCATCCTTCTCTCCTTTCCATTCACAGCTTCACGTGCCCCAAAAGCCCCAAAACCAAACCCAGAGTGCAGGGTGCTGTGTCCTGTGTGTCAGGCTGCCCGTGCCCCTCTCCTCCCGTGTCACCCTGCAGCTCTGGGGGAATCCCAGACCCTGTTTTTCCTGGCCCTGTGACTCAGGCTGGGTTTTACCTCAGGGATCCACCCTGCTGGCACTGCGGGATTTGGGGCTCAGTTTAAGGAACTTGATGAAATCCACCTCAAGAACTTCTCCAAATCTGGTTCTGCTTTGGTCCCTCTGCAGGGGCAGCATCTCAGCTGTGGAGGGGCTCCACCCTGGGCACCTCCTTGCTTTCATCTTCACCCTCTTCTCTGCTTTTTCCTTTGGTTTGTTGCCCTCCATGGCTGTTTGGGTTATTTTTAAGCCAGACTAAATTTACCTGCACTCAGCTCTTGCTGATGACTCAGAACTCGACTCACGCTGCATAAAAACCCTTTATTTTTTATGAGTTAGAATTGTTTTAACCATAATTTTATGCTTAAAATAATTGTAACCCATAAAATTACTTTATTAATAATAAATAATACAATAATTTAATAACAATACAATAATATAATAATAAATAATGTTGTAATAATAATTATATAATAATATATTATATATGAACATGTATAATATATATATAACATGTATAGTCATGTAATAGATATATGTTATATATTATATATAATACATATATATTATATATAATATATTACATATAGTATATACTATATGGTTTTATATACATATATATATACTGAGGTCTTGTGGCAATAATACATATACATATATATTATATATAATTATATATAATAAATAATATTATAATTATATATTTTCAATTATATTATAAATAATGCAATAATAAAATAATTATATTATATTATTATATATTGTTATATTATATATTATATAGTTAAAATTATATTATTATATTATATAATAAACAATTGTATTGTTATATTATAAAAAGAAATATACTACATTTATATAAATTTATTATATAAATTATTTTCCCTTCCTCCTTTTCACCCAGGGCTGGGCCCTCACCTGCAGAGCTGAGCAGGATGTTGGATATGTGATGTCCTCAGCAGTGACTGAGAGGCTCAGCCCTGTTCCTGTGGCTGCCATCAGTGGCTCTGAGTCTCTGTGGCAGATGGCAGCTCCAGGCAGCAGCTCAGAGTTGAACAATTTGCTAAATAACTGTGATCTCGGAGGGAAAAGATTCCTCCTCTCTCCCCAGCTGCTGAACTCGTTGTCTGGAGTCAAATCTGCCAGGATGTAGTTGTCTGCTGGAGAGGAATTAAAGTTACTGGGGGGGAAAAAGTTGAAATGTATTTAGTTCTGGTGGATGAAAATTTTCCCTAAGCCATGTGCAGTCAAAATTATTTGTTTTCTAACACATTGACTCTATATCTTCTTTTTTTTTTCAGTCATTAACATCTGGATATGTGCAGGGAACGTTTGAAATGGCAAATAACGAGGAGAACAGGGAGAAGAACAGATATCCCAACATCCTGCCATGTAAGCATTCACTTTTCTTTTAAAGCAGACAATTCATTTTGGCACTGAGCAGGCTGCTGCTAGTGCTGAAAATACCCAAATAATAACAACTTCACTGGTCAGAAATGCTGTATTTGTGTTGTCTGTGGTTTGGGAACTCTGTGCTTTTCCAGCTCTCCTGCTTGCAGGGAAATACAATATTCCAGATTTAATAACTTGCCAATGCCCTTCTTTTCTTTCAGATGATCACTCCAGAGTGGTTTTGACCCAAATTGATGGAGTCCCACCTTCAGACTACATCAATGCATCATATATAGATGTGAGTTGAGAGTTGCCCACAGCTGGCCAAACTTTGGGCATTAAAGAAGCAATTCTCTGCTAGCACACCTTGGCCTTTCACCTTTTAACTGCTGTGGCATTTATTTCCACAGGGTTATAAAGAAAAGAATAAATTCATAGCAGCACAAGGTAACTCCTTCTCATTTCTCTCTTCTCTGTAGCTTAGGGCTGAGCACATTTAATTGGAGATGTGTTTGAAAGGTTATTTTTAGCTGCAGGTGGTGGTCAGGGGTGAGGCTGGGTTCAGAGGTTACAGCTGGAAGGAGCTGGAGGTGTGTGAGGTGAGCAGCTGCCTCTAGGCAGTTCTGTAGGTTTTGCTCTGGCACAGACTCATTTCCCTCTCCTGACCCTCTTTGCTGGAAATTGGTGTCTCCTGATGATCCATTCCAAGAGAACCTTGGACCTTGGCATGGGGAAGAGCTGCAAAGTGGGAATTCTAAATGTTGCTCCTGCCACAATTAAGATTAAATAATATTTAAGAGTTAATGTGTTACAGAATCTTCCAGTCCCTGAAGGGGCTCCAGGAGGGCTGGAGAGGGACTGGGGACAAGGCATGGAGGGACAGGACACAGGGAATGGCTTCAAACTGAAAGTGGGTGGATTTAGATGGGATTTTGGGAAGGAATTGTTCCCTGTGAGGGTGGGCAGCCCTGGCAGCCCCTGGATCCCTGGCAGTGCCCAAAGCCAGGCTGGACACTGGGGCTGGAGCACCTGGGACAGGGGAAGGTGTCCCTGCCATGGCAGGGAGGAGGAAGTAAATTATTTAAATGAGCTTTAAAGTCCTTTCCAACTCAGACCATTCTGTGATTCTATGAGTGATATTTCAAGAGAGGAGATTCCTTCTAAAAATGTAGATTTGGGTGCATGATTATGTAAAAGAAAACATGAGGGGGATGTTATTTAATAAATAAATACAGAAATTTGGTAGATTCCAAAGGTGTGCAGGTGTAGCAAGCACAGCTGTGGGTGGGTGCCCAGGCAGGGTGTGGGACTGCTCTGGGATCTGCCCCATCCCTCTCCTGAGCATTTCCCTGTTCTGTCTGCAGGACCCAAGCAGGAAACAGTCAATGACTTCTGGAGGATGATCTGGGAGCAGAAATCGGCCATTATTGTCATGTTAACCAACCTGAAAGAAAGAAAAGAGGTAAGGAGCTTTCAGCCTGCTCTGGGATGTCCCCTGTGCTCAGGGGCTGACCAGTGCATTTCTCACCACTTCCTGCCCTGGCCCCTGTCAGCACAGCTGAGTTCCTGCTCCAAAATACAGTTTTCATTTCTGAAATACCCATTTATATTAGGTGATCTCAAGGAGAAAATTCTGATGGCCAATTGTGTCCTGCATAGCCCAGGGCCAAAGGAAAACTCCCGTGGTTTTATCCCTGTGTAAGGCTGCACTTGTGGATGGGATTGATTAGGAAGGAAGATTAAAAACTTTGCCCATTTTTCTGAGTATTAGGTTTCAAAATGCACAGTTTGTCAGCTAAACAAAGAGAAATGAAGGCTGCTGTGTTGTGAGGGTGCTGCTGTTCCTTCCTGTCCCCCACTCCTCTCCTGAGGATGGGCATTCCTTGTTTTCCTCCTGGACTTGATTTTCCTGCACTTGCACTGCAGCTTGATGAAGCTCAAACAGCAAAGCCAGGCCATGAGGGCCAATTCCCAGTGGGAGCAGCCAGAACTGCTAAATCTGGATATTCCTGATGGCTCCAAAGCAGAACTGCTTTGAATTTCTCCCTGGCTGCAGCTAAAGCTCGAGATCAGAGTAAAAACCTCGCAGTCCCCACAGTTGGACACCATGTAACAAAGCTGCCAAACTGAAACAAAAGCTGTGGGGGCTGAGTTGGTTAAAAAACAATTCAAAGCTGTTCTCACCTTCTCTGCATCAATTTAAGAAGCAGTAGCAGGGTGCTGAAGTTGTGCCAGCTGAGGAGCTCTGCACACTCACAGCTTCCCTGATGCAACTAGGAGAGCGTGGCAGTGAAAGCAAAGTCAGGGTGATAAAATTCCCTGGGTTTGGTTGTGAAAATTCCCTGGGTTTGGTTGTGAAAGTTCCCTGGGTTTGGCTCTGAGATTCCATGGGTTTGGTTGTGAAATTCTCTGGGTTTCATTCTGAGATTCCATGGGTTTGGCTCTGAGATTCCATGGGTTTGGTTCTAAATTTCCATGGGTTTGGCTCTGAAATTCCCTAGGTTTTGTTCTAAGATTCCCTGTGCTGGGCTCTAAAATTCTGTGTACTTGTCTCTGAAGTTCCCTGAGTTTGGCTCTGAAATTCCCCATGTTTGGCCCTGAAATTCCCTGTTTTTGTGCAGGAGAAGTGTTTCCAGTACTGGCCTGACCAGGGCTGCTGGACGTACGGCAGTGTCCGTGTGTCCGTGGAGGATTCCATGGTGCTGGTGGATTACACCATCCGCAAGTTCTGCGTGCACTCGGTGAGGCCGGAGCTGCTCCCGGGGCTTCCCTCGCTCCTGGGGCAAAGCTGGGATAATCCCAAATGTTTGCTGTTTGAGAAATCAGAATTTGAGAAATGTGGCTGATTCTAGCCAACAACCACACAGTGTATTTTATTTTTGAGGTTCCCAGACGAAGAAGGGAAATGATGAATCTGACTCCATGTTCTTAGAAGGATAATTTGTTATTTTATGATCTATATTATATTAAAGAATGCTGTACTAAACTATACTAAAGAGTACAGAAGGGATACAGACAGAAGGCTAAAGATAATAGTGAAAAACTCATTATCTCTCCAGAGCCTTGACACAGCTGGGCTGCAATTGGCCAAATAAGTAAAAAACAATTCACATGAAACCAATAAAACAATCACCTGTTATTAAACAGTGTCCAAACACATTCCCAAGCAGCAAAGAACCAATAAGTAAAAACAATTCACATAAACCAATGAAACAATCACCTGTTGGTAAACAGTGTCCAAACACATTCCAAAGCAGCAAAGCACAGGAGAAGCAAATCAGATAATTATTGTTTTCATTTTTCTCTGAGGCTTCTCAGCTTCCCAGGAGAAGAATCCTGGCAAAGGGATTCTTCCAGAAAATATGACAGTGACGCATAGTGATTTAGGCTAAATAACTGTGTGGTTGTTGGCTTTTGCTATTGTAAATTAACTTTTACCAGTTGTTAATCGCAAGGATTTTGATATATTTATAATCACTCTTTACTACTTTTAATATAATTGTGATCTGGCCCCTGTGGAACTTAGATTCTCAAAACATCATATATTAATAATATTTTCATTTATGACCAGTGTAATAAATATATTATGGTTTTAACTTTTGCAAAATATTAGAATATGTGTTACACATTTAACGTCTACAAAAATAACTATAATATCATATAATAACTAACATTTTTGGTTTTGTAACTAACTAACAATAAAAACAACTGAAACATATCTGTAAAATAACTAATATAATCTATATACTTAGATAATATTAAAAAATAAAAAATCAATCATTATCAACTACTAAAACCACAAAACCAACATGAAAAATGAGATGTCACACTCAGAGTCTGGGTGTTCCTGCAGCTCCAGGAGGGATGCAAAGCTCCAAGGCTCGTCACCCAGCTCCACTTCACCAGCTGGCCGGATTTTGGGGTGCCTTTCACACCTATTGGCATGCTGAAATTCCTGAAAAAAGTCAAGACCTTGAATCCTGCCCATGCTGGACCAATCGTGGTTCACTGTAGGTATGTATGTGCTCCTCAGGCCATTCTTGTGGCTTGGCCTGGAGTTATTTGTAGATATTTAGATTTTAAAGACTTTATATATATATATATATATATATATATATATATATTTATATTATAGATATATTTACTCACATATTTCCATTCAAGGGTAATAATCTGATAAGTCATATTTAGATTTTTTAACATATTTTTATATATTTTAAAGACTTTATTTTTATATATATATATATTTATATTATAGATATATTTAATCACATATTTCCATTCAAGGGTAATAATCTGATAAGTTTTTCAGAACTGAGAGTGAAAACAATCTCCAAAGCTCTGTCTTTGCTGTCAGTTTAATACTCAAACAGAAGTTGTTGTTCTGCTCTTTGGGGTTTTTGTTATGAGGGATCTCCATTGTTTGGTATAAATCTGTTCTTTGTCAGAAAAACAGACTGGTGATAGAAATCTGTGGCCTTTGCCACTCAATGCTGCTCTGGGAATTCATCCCCCACTTCTCCCACAGTCAAATTGCAGTTTTTTAATGGAAATTAGCCATGAAATGCCTGAAAAGTTTGGAAGAAAGACTTGAATTCAAGAGACTTAAATGCTGCAATTTAAAAAATGTGCTTCATCCCAATCCAGAAGCAATTCCCACTCGTTGGTCACTCACACAGGCACATCCTGCTGCTAAACTGTTGAAATCTTTAATGAAACTTAAACCAAACTCCCAAACAGTTTGAAGTGAATAATTGCAACCTCTGTAGCAGCTGTAAGCTCACCCCTGAGCAGGAAGTGGCTTTTCAGGAGCAATTTTCATTGCAAGGTTAGAAAAAAGAGCACAAGAGCAGAATGAAAAGAAAAGAAGAGCAGCTTTGTCTGCTCTTCTTGTTTTTAAGGAAAAAAAGATGTAAATTCTTGTGTTTGTCTTTTTACTTGCTAGAAATACTCCCTGGAAATGTGTGATAGAGAAAAAGAAAGTGTTTGTCCTGCTGGGATTCACCTTCTCACCCAGGTGTCATGAATAAAAACACCATTTAGATGGGAAAAGTAGATTTGAGTTGTCTCAGTTGAGAATATTTTTATAGCCCTTTGCTGTATGTGGAACCTCTTTCTGGGCTTGAGCTTTATCTGGCAGCAGCAGGAAATGCTGTGCTTGGTTTACCCAGCAGAAGGAAAGCCAAAAGCAAGGAAAATACAAAATAATTTCATCAATACCTGCAGAGATTTCAATCTAAAGGGCCAGCAGAGCACGGCGAGGCCGTGGTGTGTCAGGGTGAGAAATGAGGAGGACAGAGGTGACACTGAGCTTCCGTCCCACTTCAGGATGTGACACCACTGAATTGTTGGGAAAAGGAAAGGGAAGCCCATCAGCAGTGAGTAACCATCCATTTTTAGGGAGCCTGTAGGGAAGTCTGCCCCAGCCACCCTGGCCAAAAGCTCTCCAGTCAGGTTTGGGAAGTGAATGAAACAATGACTTAGCATTTGGAAGTCAAGGAGTGCAAATGAGGAGTGGCAGGATTTTCTGCTGATTCCTGTGTTCTGTAAGGTTTTAGAAATAGGTTTTTTTAGAAGTAGAATTTTTTCAGTGGGTGGAGAGGGACTTTGAGGAATGGCTGAGTAAGGGATGCCACGAGGCAGGCTAAGGATGGAGACACTCGGGAGGTGGATGCCCAGGGTGGGGAAGTCACCAGCTTCAGCAGAAACGTGCAGGGATGGAATCCAGAGCTGATCTGGGAACTCTGGGAGGGAACAGGGATGTGCAAAAGGGATTGTGGCTGGAAAGGGAGTGAGGAAGCTGAGCTGGGCTGAAACCTCCAGGAAAGAGCAGTGAGGGACCAGTGGGAGCTGGGGAGGGGAGGTCAGTGCTCAGAGGTGGCTTCCAGGGCTGTCAGGAGGAGAACAATCTCTTTGGAGTGGGAATTAGGGCATTAGGGCATGAGGGGCATTCCTTGTGGTGCCAGAGGGCCACCATGGGTGCATGGAAGGGAGACTGAAGGGAATCTCCACCATCCCTCCAGACCTCTGGAACAGCGGAGCTCATGGGTTTTTGGCTGGTGAAGTGTGTGTGGAAATGAAATAATTGTACTACAAATACAATCATTTTATTTTTCTGGTCTTATTGTAAACCTGGTATTGCCTTGCTGAGAATTGCTTTGTATTTTTGAGCCTGTGAGGGGAGGGGAGACGTTTTTATCATGTTCCTGGAGGTGTTTGTGGCCATTGCAGCCAAGCAAACTGCCCAGAGCTTAAAGGAGAGCTGCTCATGACTAGTACAGGATGCCATGCCCTTTTCCTCTGGAAGGAAGAGCTGAAAGTCGCTGGAATTTTGTCATTTCTAACAGTCGTGCTCCCTCTTGTGGCTTTTAAGGATGTAAAAACCAGAAACTGTTTAGGGATGGCAAGGTTGGGAAATGTGGAGCTAAAAATTCCTAAAAGAATAATTGAAATTTTATCTTAACCTTTAGAGTTATTATTATAGTTATTTATTTTATCTCAGCCTTACAGAGCTATTATAGAATTATTAGAGATGGTCAAGCAGATTTTATTTTCAAATGTCTTTTGAAATTTAATTCTGATGCCATCAGCTGGGGAGAGCTGGGTTTTTATGCTAAAAACATCCCTCTTTTTTTGCTGGCCTTGTTAAAATGAAAAAAGGGGGAGGTTTAGATTGGATAATAGGAAAAAGTTTTTCATAGCAAGGGTGATAAAGCTCTGGAATGGCTGCCCAGGGAGGTGGTGCAGTCACCATCCCTGGGTGTGTTTAACAAAGCCTGGATGTGGCACTGGGGGCCAGGGTTTAGTTGAGGGGTTGGGGCTGGGCTGGACTTGGTGATCTTGAAGGTCTCTTCCAACCCGGTGATGATTCTGTGAATTTCTTCACTGAAAGGGTGCCCAGGCACTGGGACAGCCCACAGGGGTGGAACCCCATCCCTGGAGGGATTTTAAAGCCCTGTGGATGTGGCATTTGGGGAAAAGCTGGACTAAAGGATCTGAGATTTAATGTTTCCCAGCCAGTATTTCAGTCCAGTCTGAGCACGAGGCTCACTGCTGCAGCAGTTCCTGCAGATTTGGGTGATTCCAGGGAGATTTTTGTGTGTTTGTATCGTGGCAACAATCCCCTGAACGGGGAGTAATTAGCACTGACTCCCTGATTGCAGAAGGCTGATCAATTGCTTTATTAAGCTGTACTATATTATACTATTAAGAAACTCATAACCCTTACTGACTGTCCCATACAGCTTTGGCCTAATTGGTCAGTCCCTCCAAACACCATCCAGTGTCCAATTAACAAACCACCCTCTGGTGAACAATCTCCATAACGCATTCCGCGTGTCCCCAACGACAGGTGGGGACAAGAACTGTTCTAATTCTTTTCTCTGAGCTTCTCGGAGCTCCCCAGGGAAATCGTGCGAGAGAGCCCTGTCCCTCAGTGCCCAGGGCTCCGTGGTGACCGTGTTTGTTCCCTCCCAAGCGCGGGCGTGGGGCGCACGGGCACCTTCATCGTCATCGACGCCATCATCGACATGATGCACGCCGAGCACAAGGTGGACGTCTTCGACTTCGTCTGCAGGATCCGCAACCAGCGGCCCCAGATGGTCCAGACTGATGTGAGTGCACCTCAGCCACCCGGAATTCCAGCTTTCCCTGGGCACAGGAGGAAACGCTGCTGTATTCCCGCTCCGTTGTGCAGCTCAGGGTGTCTTGTGCTGTTGGACAATTGGGGCTTGGAGCAGCCTGGGATTAATGGGAGGTGTCCCTGCCCGTGGTAGGGGTGGGATGGATGAGTTTAAAGGTCACTTCCAACCCAAATGATTCTGGGATTCTCTAATTCAAAAATGCACAAAGCTCAGTGACGGATGTGAGGTGAGGGAGAAGATAAAGGTGGAGAAGACCACTGTGAAACACTTAATTTTACTTTTTAGGAGCCATTTCCAGGTTTTCCCATGCACACGAGAGTGGAATGTCAGAGAATATGAGTGGAAATGCGAGCAAACAGGAAAACTCTGGTTTAGCATAATAATTCATTATTATTATTGTTGTTATTATTACTATTATGTCAATAATTAGAAGATGGTCACCAAACAGTTACAAGGAGCAGTGGTTTTGAAGTTAGATGGGATAGTGGGAAGGAATTGTTCCCTGTGAGGGTGAGGAGGAGCTGGGATGAAATTCCCAGAGCAGCTGTGGCTGCCCCTGGATCCCTGGCAGTGCCCAAGGCCAGGCTGGACACTGGGGCTGGGAGCACCTGGCACAGTGGAACGGGTCCCTGCCATGGCACTGGATGGGCTTTAAGGTCCCTTCCAAGCCAAACCATTCTGTGTTTTTAAATAAGTCCCAGAATTCCTCATTTTCCTCCCTTCCTCCTCCTCTGTGTCCCTTCCAGATGCAATATTCCTTCATTTACCAAGCCTTACTCGAGTACTACCTCTACGGTGACACAGAGCTGGATGTGTCATCCCTGGAAAAACACCTCCAGACTTCCCACAATGCAGCCCCAAACCTGGTCAAAATAGGCCTGGAAGAGGAATTTAAAGTAAGTATGGAAATTTTCCCCATAGGATTTCCAAGATAAAAGTGGAACCTTAAAGGTGTATAAAAGGGAAGGAGTTGTTTTATTTGGTTTTTGTTGTGAATGGGGCCTTGCTGAACATCCTGTTCCCTAAATTCAGATTTTAATCTCATTCCCTCATTCAGAGCTGTGTCATTCTGTGGCCTTTCCCTAAATGCTTTTTGTTTGTTTATAAAAAAAAGTGGATTGATTCTCTGGGTCTGGTGCAGGGTGCCAGATCAGATAATGCTGGAAGAGGAAACTGGGTTAGGTGCTCCTAATCTGCATCCCAGTGGGATTGTTAACTCTGAGGTGACTGCCAGCAGGGAATGTACAGGGCTGGAGAAAAACCTCAAAAACATCCAAAAACCCCCCATTTCTTATCAGTGGAGAAACCCCAGATGAAGAAAACCACACTGGCTGTGTGTGATCATTGTTTAAATTACTTTAGTTCCCTGAGGTAATAGTTAGAATTTTTTTAGTCTTTTCCTTATGGTAAAATATTTATTTTCTATATAGGTTTAAAGTATTAATTGCCATCTGGGTGTTAGCTGGAGTTGTCCCTTTGCTTTAAAGGACTAATTTAACCAGAAATTGGGAACTGGGTAAACAAAATGATGTAAAAATAAGTTTGATGATAGAGCAGCAAGTTCTGAAACCAGCGGTATTGAGGGAAGGAAGATTAGATGGGATATTGGGAAGGAAATTTTGGCTGTGAGGGTTGGCAGGCCCTGGCACAGGATGCCCAGAGCAGCTGTGGCTGCCCCTGGATCCCTGGAGGTGTCCGAGAGCAGCCTGGGACAGTGGGAGGTGTCCCTGCCATGGCACTGGATGGGATTTAAAGTCCCTTCCAGCCCAAACCACTCTGGGATGCTGTGACTGTTATTCCTTTTAATTTCTATAGCCAGGACAGTGAAGTGGCTGCAGGCTCCCTGGGAGTGTGGCAGGGATTTTTTACCCCACAAAGGCCCTGGAGAGCCCAGGCAGTGCAGGATGTGCTGGCCCCTCTCCTGCCCCGTGCTCACCGCCTGTGCTCTCTGCAGAAGCTGACCAACGTGCGCATCATGAAGGAGAACATGAGGACTGGCAACCTCCCAGCCAACATGAAGAAAGCACGAGTCATCCAGATCATCCCCTGTAAGAGCCCAGCTCCTCACCTGCAGGACAGTGCCAGGAATCCCTGGCTGGGAGCACACGCTGGGTCTGCGTGCTGGCAGGGCACAGCTCCCCTTACAAATTGTCATCTCTAAAAGATTCCATGAATTGGGTTTTACTGAGTCACCCTAAAATCTGTTACAGTCAGGGATTCTGAATTAAATAACTCAGCAGTTTCCCTGTTAAACCACCCCTTTTCTGTGTGATTCCATGCACAGCCTGAGCAGCACTGTGATGTTGGCACCTGAAAATGAACATTTCAGAGAAAAGATTGGGTGGGGTTTGTTCTTCCATGGGCAGCTGGCAAAAGTAACACTGGACTCAAAATTAAGACTAGACTTCTTTTATTGGACTCAAAACTAAGCCCAGGCTCTTCTTTTTTTTTTTTTTTTCCCCAGATGATTTTAACAGAGTGATTCTGTCCATGAAAAGAGGGCAGGAGTACACAGATTACATCAATGCTTCCTTCATAGATGTAAGTATACAACGTTTTCATGCATTTCCTTTTCAAATCCAAGATTTTGCTGCTGCTGATAGGTCTTTTTAAAGAGGCACAGTCAGCTTGGCTTGCAGAGAACATGAGCTTTGTTTATGGGAGTTTCCAAATGTATTTCTTATCTGGTGTTTTTAATTTCAGTTTAAATGGTTGTGCAATTTAAACCTTGTTGTTAGATTTATAAACCAAACCTTTTATTAAATTCTGATCAAGCAAATCAGCTGCATAATTACAGCCAGTGATTCCACTATCTGGGTTAGGTTAACAGGTGTAAATGTTTGCTTTTCTGAGAAATAGAGAAGTCAGTGTTGAGCACAGGGAAAGCTGTGACAGTGTTTGGCAGCCAGGCTTCACTTGGGCAGAGCTGGATGAATTCCAGGCTTTCTTCCCAGCTTCCTGTTGGAAGCTGAACACAGGATTGTGTCTTGTTTTTGTTGAAATAGGAGAATTAATCATGTCCTTAAGCAGTGAAGCCACGTTAGTGACTGAGGGCTGTGGATTCCACACCGATCACACCTGCATGGGAATAAGGAGGGGCTGGATGTGGCCCTCAGAGCCTTGGGCTTGGGTCCAGGTGGGACTCGATGGTCTCAGAGGTCTTTTCCAACCTCATTGATTCTGTGAAATAAAGCTGGACCTCAAAACTCAAGGCAGAAATTCATTCTAGAGAAAAGCTGGGAGCTGCTGTTGTGATGATGTTGTGAAATGTGGTCCGGCAGAATCTCATCCCCTCAGCCATGATGACTGGAGAAATCCACCTGAGCATTGTGAATTTGGGGGAGATTTTAGAACCTTGGAAAAGCTCTCTCAGACTATCGAGTCCAACCATCCTCAGCACTGCCAAGGCCACCACTGCCCCGTGTCCCCAAGTGCCACCTCCACATGGCTTTAAATCCCTCCAGGGATGGGGACTCGCCACTGCCCTGGGCACTGGCACTTTCTGTGGGGAAATTTCCCCTAATATTCAACTTCCACCTTCCCTGGTGCAGCCTGAGGCCGTTCCCTCTCGTTCCCTGGGAGAGAAGCCCCCGTTTAAGCTGAGCTGTCCCCGTGAGGTGTCCCTGTCCCCGTGTGACCCCCTCTCTTCCCGCAGGGCTACCGGCAGAAGGATTATTTCATTGCCACCCAGGGCCCCCTGCCTCACACGGTGGAGGATTTCTGGAGGATGGTGTGGGAGTGGAAGTGCCACACCATCGTGATGCTCACCGAGGTCCAGGAGAGGGAGCAGGTACGTGGGGCATGGCTTTGGGGAGAGCTCTCAGAGCCTGGCACAAGGCTCACACAGTGTGCAAACCTGGAGATGAGAAATGCTGACATAGAAATGCCAGGGAATAGCACTGACATTGTTAAGGGAGAAATGGAAATAGAAATAAGTTTCAAAGAGTGGCCTTGCAATAAGACTGGATACTTTGGAGAAATAGAACCATGGAGGATGCGTTGTGGTAGGAGCCACTGTTGTAGCTGAGACAGAGACAATACAAAACAACACACTCCATTTTCAGAAGGCTTCAAACTGTTTATAGTGTGCCATGCGTGCTTTTTATGCATTCTTACAAAACTCATAAATTTACACTCTACTCATTAGTCAGGAAAGACAAACAAAATGGAATAGGGAGTTGCACGTTTCCCTTATTTGTCTTTCTTTCTTGGTTTCTGTGTCAACAACCTTGGTAGGAAATGCTTTCAGGGGTACACAAGGATCAAACTTCTCTCTGGCTCACAGAAGTCACTGTAAAACCTCTTCCACAAACCAAAAGGGGTTTTTGGATGATTGTCTTTAAGGCATCTACAGCATGGTGTGGCAAAAGCTGATAGGCCAAGAAACCCTTATAATGCATTGTAATTAGGAAATAGCTTCTGATTGTGATGGTGCGAATTATAACATGTGTATTGTCTCACCCTTCACAAGAGACTGAAAATGGAAAAAAAATTTTTAAAAGGCATCCCAGCTGCCCCGTGTCTGGGTCAGAAAAGGGCTGATCTGACACGTGCCCACCCTGCAGCCCCACACTGCCCCTTCCCACCTGCAAACCACGAGTATCGATACTGCAGAAACAATTTTTTTTGCCTAAAAATCACAGCAATCTGAATTTTTTTTTGGCTTTTCCTAAAATGAGCACTTTCTTCACTCATTGGTGTGAGGCAGCATTGCTGCTTTTCTGGAATTGTCAGGAAACAAAAAAAAACTGTGGAATATTGTGATTTTTGAAAGCTTCCAGTTGGCATCAAGGGATGCCTGACAGGGGACAGAGTTTTGGAATTTGGGAACAAACTTTTGTGTAAACTTTTATCCCGTTTGTCCCAGTAAAAGCTCCAATTGCTCATTCTGAGCCTGTCCTGATTTGATTAAAATACAAGAATTAATTCATTATTTGATTTAAATATGAGAATTAATGTCATTAATTAATTAAAGAGTCCTGTGCTGCAGCTTGAAAATTCTGGGTTCAACAAGGGTGTTGGGAAAAGCTTTTTCTTGATGGTTTTGGGAGGTTTTTAACAACATTACCTTGCTCTCAGGAATTCCATTTATTATTCTGCTCTGTTTTAAAGCAATATTTGCTATCTGGGCCTCCTGAGCCTTTTTCATCATGATGGTTTCCATTCAAGAAATATTTTATCACTGTATTCTTAGTGTTTAGAGCACGCTTATTATGCTGGATGTCACTTCTTATGCCAGAGATTCATGACAATGTAGATAACTGGGAAAAATAAATCAAGGAATATTTGCAATTCTCTGGATTCTGCAGGAAAAATGCTGCCAGTACTGGCCATCAGAGGGCTCTGTGACTCACGGAGAGATCACGGTGGAAATCAAGAGTGACAGCCTGATGGATGCCATCAGTGTGAGGGACTTCCTGGTTACATATAATCCGGTAATTCTTTCAATTCCAGCAGTTTTTTGTCGTTTTTGGGTTTTTTTTCCATCAGAAGGCATTTACAAATCTGGTTATGTATCTTAAATTCTGGGATTTCTGTCTAAACTTAAATGTGGTTAATCAAAAGCTGGCATTAAGAGGAAGCTTATATGAAATAATTTTGCTTAAAGTCCCTGAAAATACTGAAAATTCTGATCAGTGAAACAGGTAGTTGCAAAATGGGGGAAGGGTTTTGGGGTTTTTAGCCTGTTTTGTTGTTGCTGTTATTCCTAGATCTTTCTGCCATCTCCCACATAGGTATCAAAGAAAATTTGATTTAAGATTCATCACAAAATTTGGGTTCGGGTTGGGAGGGGCCTTAAAACTCATCTCCACTCCCTGCCCTGCGCAGGGACACCTCCCACTGTCCCAGGGTGCTCCAAGCCCTGTCCAGCCTGGCTTTGGGCACTTCCAGTGTATCCTAAGTCCTTCCCAGAGGAAACAGCTGTGCAAACCAAAGGAAAATTGTAGGGGAAAATTAGCAGTGGGTGGGGGATTTAGAAACAGAGCTGCCAGCATAGAATCGTGGAATATCACTGGAAATAAAATCACCAAGGTCCTTAATATGGTACAAACCAGGCTGCAAATTTTGCAGTGCAGAATTGCTGCTGCAGATGTTCCAGGCAGGAATTGTGTTTGCACCTGGGAGTGACGAGTGGCTGAAGGGTGTTTTCCTGCTGGCAGAGCAACCAGGAGAAGCAGAGCAGGCTGGTCAGGCAGTTCCACTTCCACGGGTGGCCGGAGATCGGGATTCCTGCCGAAGGGAAGGGCATGATCGACCTCATTGCGGCTGTGCAGAAGCAGCAGCAGCAGACAGGGAACCACCCCATCACTGTGCACTGCAGGTGAGCCCCCTCTGCACCTCAGCCTGGCTCTTCTGTGCCCCTGGCATTCCTCTTCCGGGGGGATTTTGGAAGGAATTGTGAATGAGTTACAGACAGGACCTCTGAATTGTTTTAGATTATGTGGTTTATTTTTCTTATCTTCTACATAGGTAGGAAGGGTGAGTTTGGCTCACATCTTCACTGCATGGCTCAGAAGGTCACAAGACCTTTAGTTACAAGACCTTTTAAGAATTTATTGACCAATAAAACACTACCAACAAGGATATTTATGTTTCTGACCTAATCCTTAAATATTTCATCTTATGGATCCATGCTACAGTGTGAGCTTTGTTAGTGAATCATGTTATGAGACACAAACCCAGAGTACTGCATTCCAAACTCCTTGTTCACCTCTGTAACTACTTCTATTTTTTCTATATCTTAAACGCTAAACTTTCTTTTACTTAGTTTAACATGTCTCTGCTTTAAACTATAAAATCCACATTCTCACTTCTGGCACCTGAGTCTGGGAGCCTTTTCTAAGGTCTCAGATCAAATCCTGGGTTTAATGCTAAGCTTTGGCTTCCAGGCCCAAACTTCTGAGAATTCCCTGCATTTCAGATTCCAACGCTCTTTTCCCATTTTTATCCCAGTTGATGCCAAACAAATGTGTTTCCATTGCAGTGCTGGAGCAGGGAGAACAGGAACCTTCATAGCCCTGAGCAACATCCTGGAACGGGTCAAGGCTGAGGGGCTCCTGGACGTGTTCCAGGCTGTGAAGAGCCTGAGGCTGCAGAGGCCACACATGGTGCAAACACTGGTAAGGGATTTGCCAGGCCTTTGGAAGGGAGTTCTGTGTGTAAATATCCCTGGGAAAGGAGAATAAAAGGGCTTTTTGCAGGTTTCCATAGATGATGCATGGTGGATATGTGTGTACAAGGCATAGTCAGGGTTTTACAGGGGTTTTGGAGCATGTCTCAAAATACAGTTTGGTTAAATATTCTCTGTCTTTTAGGAACTTGAGGCAGTGAAACTAAATGTCTTCTGAGTGTTGCAGGTGATAAAATATATTAAGGAAATGGCTTTCAAGCTGTTTATCAGTTGTTCTTTCTTACCTTAAAATGTCTGGGCATAAATTGGAATCATGGAATGGCTGGGGTTGGAAGGGACCTTAAAGCTCATCCCATTCCACCCCTGCCATGGCAGGGACACCTTCCCCTGTCCCAGGCTCCTCCAAGCCCTGTCCAGCCTGACCTTGGACACTCCCAGGGATGTGAAAATCTTTGGAAATGTCTCTGACTTGATTAAAATCTTTACAGTTTTCCTTCAAGTAATCTACAGCTACTATTTGAAGCTTATTCCAGATGCTTTTCCCTGTTGAGTAACCATAAAAAAGTTTTTTGAGACTTTTCTGAACTTGAAAATACAATAAAATATTGACATTTTTGATTTCCATAGCAGCTTCCATTCAGCAATCTGAAGCCTTTTTGGAAACAATTACCTCAAACCCTTTTTCCAGGGAGATGTTTTCTCCATCCCACAGATAGGAAGAACGGGGATGAAGAAATGGAATTGCATTATCCATGCTCAGGCTGGGTCAGGGATGGATGGGATATTGGGAAGGAATTCCTCCCTGGGAGGGTGGGGAGGAGCTGGGATGGAATTCCAGAGCAGCTGTGGAGTTTCCTTCCACAGCTGCTGAAGGAAACTGATGCTCTATCAATAATCTAATCTGGGTTTTCCCACATCCCCCACTGGTTCTGTCGGGCTGGTATCCAGAATGAGAAGAACTGACTTCAAATTAATTCTTAGGCTCTGGAATAAGCATGATTATCATGTTTTATATTATTTGCTAAAGAAATCCTTCCCAGGGAGGGTGCTGGGCTGGTACGGGGTGCCCAGAGCAGCTGGGGCTGCCCCTGGATCCCTGGCAGTGCCCAAGGCCAGGCTGGACACTGGGGCTGGAGCACCTGGGACAGGGGAAGGTGTCCCTGCCATGGCAGGGGTGGAACTGGCTGGGATTTAAAGACTCTTCCCACCCAAACCATCCTGGGATATTCTGATTCCCTGATTATCCCTGGCCAGTGCTCAGGAGTTTCTGCTGTGAGCAGCTGGGTTTAAATCAAAAGCCAGGCTTAAGAACTGATTCAGTTTAAGAAGCATCTCTGAAAAAGCTCCAGAAATCATTTGAAGCAAAGAGCAAGGATCAGCCTGTATAGAAAGTGGAACCACTGGTTTTATCTAAAATAATCACCAGAAATCAGAACAGACCAATCCCTGTTAGGATATATTGAATTTATCACTGGGATTGGCAGAATTCAGGTTTTTAGTGTAACCAAAAGCACATTTTGATCTCTTTTCCTTGTTTTCCAGGAACAGTATGAATTCTGCTACAGAGTGGTACAAGACTTCATTGACATCTTTTCAGATTATGCTAATTTCAAATGAGAATTCTGCCTTATTTTTTAATTTGTCTGTATAAATAGTTGTATATTATGTTAATTTATTCTGTGTCACTTGGATTGTTGACTGAACTGTAAATACAACGATGTGCTGGCTCTGAAAGTTGCATTTGCTGTATAAAGTTGTTTCTTAAATATAAATATCTTCTAAAGCAAAGTATAATGTTCCTATACTGTATAGCACTGTAAGATGGGATAGAAATCTTTATTCTAAATAACAAAAAATTAATTCTCGGGGTTTTTTTTCCTTTGGATTTTGTCACTCATAAATATTTATCAAAAACATTATCTCCTAATTCTTGAATTTTTTGACAGGTGATTTACAGTTCATCCTAAAAAAAAGTGAATTTGGGTGCACATGTTTAAACATGTTTTGTTCAGCAGGAAAATATGTTCACCATGAAAATAGATATTTATTTTTCCAAGCTGTTTTAAAGAACCTCCAGACTTTATTGGATTTTAAGTCTTACTGTCCATAGGAAAAATCAGTAGAAATACAGATTTGAATTTTTGAATTAACAGAACTTTCAAAGCCCCGTTCATTTTTTTTTCACAAATATTGTTTAAGTCAACTTAGAAAGGCAATAACGTGATTTTTAGAATATTTTGCATATTTGAAAAGTATATTTTTCAGCACCTGAACTTGTCGAGTTGAAGAGAAAAGCCAGAAATGAAGTTAAAAGCATCTCTTCTCTATAAACACCTGCATAATCTCCCACTCCTTTAAAATAGGAGATGAACTCTTATTCCTTGATTTGACTCAGCAGGATAGTTAAGAGGTAAAAATTGGAAAAAAAAAAAAACATTTAATGAACAGTTTAATGCCAGAAACATTGAGTATTGTAGCTAAAGTTCCTCCAGGTTCTTACCCTCCCACAAATGTTATCAAAAAAGGACTTTCCATAAGGGGTTTAGGGTTGTGTACAGAGAGATATTTTTATTGAAAGTACTACTCAGAATAGAATTGGTGACAGAAACTATAAAAGTTTTTATTACAGCCCTGACCAGGGGCTGGGAAATCCCCAAAATCACAGGGCACCCAAATGTTGAATAATTACCAAATTTATCTCTCCCACTCTTCCAAAAGCATCTCTGACTTAATGAGCACAAAGGGGTGAATCTGTCATTAATTAGATAACAAATATGCAACAGTTCTGTCTCGTGCAGCTGGGCTTTGGCCATGCAGCATCAAAGCCTAATTTCAAACAAGCAGCTTCAACTGAGCTTTTCCCTGCTGTTCTTGCACTATTTTATCCCATTCCAATAGAATCTCCTTGCACCTTGGAGCAGTGCAAGGGGATGGGAAGGTGTCTCTAGGCCTCCTTCCATTCCAGCCTGGCTGGAGAAGGTTTGGGATAGGAATTCCTGAGCCCCCAATCCCCACAGTGCCATTGGCTCTTCCTGTCTTCCCATCGCTGCACTGCTGTATTTATTTGTACAGTAAATTATGCACTCCAAACACGAGATTGGTTAAAGACTAAACTCGCTCGTGAGTCTCTATGAGAAGAAACACTCAAGCCACAGGGTTGGGTACTGAAAGTGGAGCTGAGGAAGGGCATGTTCCTGAAATTCCATCCAAATGGAAAGAGCCAGAACGAATTCAGTCTGGAAATGATACAAGGGGTTTCAGTCTCATTTATAGCACAGGCTCCCAGAGGCTGGAGAATAATGCAGAGGAATTCCCATTTTTTGATCCTGGTGTCGGGATCTTTCCAACCATTTAGCCCACATTTGAATAATAATTTGTCACAATTTGGGGTCCCTGAGGTAAAAACTTGGGGTGAGTTGTCCATGAAGTCAATCGCAGTGCAGGGACACTCCAGAAGATTGGAAAATAATGCAAAGGAATTCCTATTTTAAGGTCCTGATGTCAGGATCTTTCCAACCATTTAGGAGCCATTATAGTAAGAATAATAATAATAATAATAATTTGTCTGTTGGGCAGATTTGTGGGTCCCTTTGGTGAAAACTGGGGTTGTCTCCTGAAGTAAGTCTCAGTGCAGAGAGATCCAAAAGGTTGGAAAATAAAGGAATTCCCGTCTTATGATCCTGACGTCAGGATCTTTCTGACCCTTTAGCCAGCATCTGAACAATAATAATTTGTGTTTTGGGCAGATTTTGGGGCCCCTGAGGTAAAACCTCGGGTTGAGTTGGCCACGAGGTCGATCTCAGTGCAGCAGTGATGGGGTGTGAGGGTGTGGGGGTCCCACAGCCCCCAGGAGCTGCAGCACAACTCCAGCTGCCCACGGGGTTCCCTAAAATCCTCCTTCCAGCCAGGAGCGGGATGGAGTTCAGCTGGAACACCAAATCCTCGGTGGGTACTCGAATTTTAGTTGATAACCAGATTGAGAAATGGGGGAGGAAAGAGAAATGCCTGAAATAGAATTCAGAGCTCCCAGCTGTAGCTCCATGAAGGTTTTTGTGGAATTTGAAGAGCTCCCTTGGCAGTCACTGTGTGTGCTCGCTGGCTGGAGCTCTGGGAAGGGTCTTGGTGGACTGGACTTTTCCTTTGAATCTCCGTCCGTTGCATGGAATTCCTTCAAAAGGCCAAATAGTTGGATTGGAAGTGTCCTTCTGATCTGTCTGTGGTTTTGGTCACTGTGTGACTTGGACTGTTCATGTGTTCAGAAGGTCCCAGCTCAGCTCAGCATTGAGGCGTTCGCTTCCCAACGCCCTCATCCCACAGTCCATGGATGCCATGGATTCCCTGTCCCCGAAGCAATCCCTTAAAAGTGCTTGGCTGACTTGGGCCTTAATGAAGAATGCATACTGTAATTAGCAGTGTTTTTTAGGCTATTTTTATGTATTTTTTAAACTTTTGAAATGAGCCTGACCGCCCTGTGTTCAGTCTTTTGAAATGTTTGCGTTTCCCTCGTCCCATTTTTCATGTAAAGTTACTGGAACTTTTCTGTATAACCTAAATGTATTTAATTTGTCAAATCTTTATAATATATGTATGTATTATACAGTTTCAGCTCTTATTATTTTCTTTTCTTACGTTTCTAATTTGATCTTGCTGTGTTTTTAATGCCGGTGAATGTGGCTGAATTATTTGTATATGCAAATTGCAAGATCTAATACATTCTGATGCAAGAACAAAGCTTCCTTTTTATTCTCCACCTGCATTATTTCCTTTAAATCTTTTAATTTCATTCCTGTGTTGTGTGTTCATTTGAATTAAGCACTCTCAAAGAGTTGAATCCATTATCTAGTTAAGTAATTTTTCAGTGCTTATCTGCAGTTGTTTGGGAGTAAAATTCTGATTTATTTTGGGACTGAACGTTGTGCATATAAAGGGTGTGGAAACTCATGGAAGCAGTTGGAATCCAGGTCTTCCCAAACTCCAAACTGTCTGGGTAAGTAAGAGCTGATTAAATAAGTACAGTAAAATTAAGTAAATATAGTAAAATAATCCTGTGGTAAACTGTGGTGTAATACCAAGATAAAAATAGGATCTAAACTTCCATCTGCGTCACCAGTCATGAATTGAAAATTCACTCTAATTAACAGCAATTTCTTAATTCATTTTGACAAGTTTTGCATTGGACATTTGCTAAAATTAACCCAGAGGGCCCCACTGTTGTAACAAGGGGGAGAGGTGTGTGTAAAGCAGGAGTAGCTGCTCAGGGGTTCCGTGCTAATGTCAAATCAAACAGGATTTCAGCAGCCTGATTTCTGTTTCTTTCTGTTTCCCCTGGTCCACCCCACACCTCCCATTTGGGAGATGCCTCTTCAGGGCAGGTCATTTTAGGATTTTTTTTCCCCCACAGTTGTTGGGAAGAACTTTTCTGCATGTCCTTCCTGGGCATTGCTCTAACATTGGCAGGATGAGAGGAAATGGCCTTAAATTGTGCCAGGAGAAGTTTGGAAATTAAAATTTCTTCATGGAAAGGGTTTTAAAGGGCTGGGAAAATGCCTGTGGCAGTGGTGGAGCCCCCATTGCCGGAAGTGTTCAAAGACTGTGGATGTGGCATGGAGGACATGGGTTAGTGGTGAACTGGTTAGTAGTTGGATTTGATCTTTTCCAAACCTAACAAATATGATTCTAATTTGCCACTGCACGTAAAAGCAATTAATCTTTTAAATTATTCCAGAGGAGTTGATAAAATACTTTGTGTGATTGGGTGATTGTGCGACCACTGGGAGGTAACTGTGTGTAAATACTTTGTGTGATTGGATGATGTACTTTTATGCAGCTTGTGCGACCACTGGGAGGTAACTGTGTGTGAGGACAGGCAGGTGCCTTGGTGTGCTCTCAGAAAAGAGAAGAATCACAAATATTTATCAGTTATTAATTAATTCTTGGTAATTTAAATAAATAGTGATAATTGTAATTGTTGGTCACACAGCAAACATGGATATTTCTGTACTCTAATGGTGATACACTTGTTTTTTTCCTACTTTTAAACATTACAAAAAAGATACCATAAAGACCCTCAGGTTTCTTACCTGGTTCTGTTTTTAGAAACTCAAATTTAGGAAAAAAATACAACTTAATTGTAAACTGTCCATGAAATATATTTAGTTGGACGGGATATTTAAACAGGATAAACTAAAGCAGATCAAAGAGGTGTTTGCTCTGCACAAATGTCAAGCTCTGTTTTGCCTAATGCAGAAATTGTTGAATTGAGAATTTTCCGGGCCACTGAACTTCCCGGGGAGTGTTCTTCATCTGAGGAATTAAAGGATTAGGATGTAATTTAGATCTTCTGGTGAGAGCTTCCTTCTAATGACTTTTATCCATTTTCTGTGCTGCTTTGCGCAGAGGAGGGGAATTATTCAGTTATTAATCAAGCTGACACCTTGCCAAGGAAGTTCTTTGTGCAAAGAATCCTTTTCACCTGTTTCCATTCAAGAGAAACAGCTCCAGCATTTTCCTGAATTTTCCTGAACTCCAGCTATAAATACGGAACAGAAGATCCAAGCTGGGACTTCTCACCAGCTGGGTGGACAAAAAGCAAGGAAAACTCTCCCAGGTGGGAAGAGCTTGAGGAGGAATTATTTGGATTTTCTAGTTGAGGTTTTTATAGAAATTTGTCCTTCCAAAACCTGAAGGGAAACTGTGGAAAAGATGGAGAGGGAATTTTTATGAGAGCATGGAGTGCCAGAGATAAATGGGATATTGGGAAGGAATTTTTGGCTGGGAGGGTGGGCAGGCCCTGGATCCCTGGAAGTGCCCAAGGCCAGGTTGGACATTGGGGCTGGGAGCACCTGGGACAGTGGGAGATGGAACTGGATGAGGTCCAGTCCAACCCAAACCATTCCATGGTTTTATGATTCATGTGGCTGCCTATGGATGGAGCAGAAGCTGTTTCCAAGGGAGCAACCCATGGAATTGCTCTCCTCCCTTGTTTGTAGGTGTGCATGGAAATTACGGAACTCCAGAATTTCATAGAGGCTGAGTTAATTTCATGGAAATTACGGAACTCCAGAATTTCGTAGAGGTTGAGTAAATTTCATGGGAGTTATGGAACGCCAGTATTTCATAGAGGCTGAGTTAATTTCATGGAAATTACGGAACTCCAGAATTTCGTAGAGGCTGAGTTAATTTCATGGAAATTGTGGAACTCCAGAATTTCGTAGAGGTTGAGTAAATTTCATGGGAGTTATGGAACGCCAGTATTTCATAGAGGCTGAGTTAATTTCATGGAAATTACGGAACTCCAGAATTTCATAGAGGCTGAGTAAATTTCATGGAAATTATGGAACTCCAGAATTTCATAGAGGCTGAGTTAATTTCATGGAAATTACAAAACTCCAGAATTTTATAGAGGCTGAGTTAATTTCATGGGAGTTATGGAACTCCAGAATTTCATAGAGGCTGAGTTAATTTCATGGAAATTACGGAACTCTAGAATTTCGTAGAGGTTGAGCAAATTTGCTGAATCCAGTGGAATCTCGCCCCAGTCCCAATAAAATGCACAAATTTTCACTCAACTGTGCCAAAGGACTCTCTGGGAGATGCAAAATCCCCCTTATGGGATTTTAACCTTTGGGGTTAAAAGTGATCTGCTGAAGTTGATGGCAACAATTCCTGGGTTAAGGAATTCATTCCCAGATCAGGCACAGGGCGGGATTGTTGGGGCCAGGAGTTGGATCCCATCATCCTCAGAGGTGGGTTTGTCATTTTTGGAATTGGCAGGTCTGTTCCACAGACCTAATAATAATTAATTATTTCAAAGTATTCGTTAACACCATTTAAGGTAAATTAATAACTTCAAAGTAGTTGATAAAATTTGGAAACATCCCATTTGTTCCTAAATTTATGCAGATTCCCTCATAAAATCCTTTGTCAAAATCAGGTTCTGTGCATGAATAGCAGCACTCCAAAAATCCTGGGTGCAATAATGTGTCAGTGAAAAAAATCATGATTTTAAGAGAGAGATTTGGTGCTAAACCTTAAAATTTCAGGGTTAATAATGAGACTTCTCATCACTGGACTTGGCTTTACACAATGTGAGTAGCCTGAATATTTATTTACTTTATACCTTATAAAAGTCCTAATTTAGGGAAAGCTTTCACCAGAATTTCTGCCTTTTCAAGTAAAAACCACTGATGGTACAAATCTGTGAGAAATGAGCTTCATTCAGTGCTCCCAAAGCACCTGTTCAACACTTGGATAAATAACTCTGTATGAGGATCCTGACGTGAGAAATTAAAATGCTGATTTTTTAAATTCTTTATCTTTATTTTTCTCCTCATTTTTGACAGTTGACAGTTTTACTTCACGGTGGATTCAGGTGTATTTGTCTAAATTAAATGTTCCTACCAGCAAATTTAAACCTTGGAGAAAATGTCTTTTTTTTTGGTTTTTTCCCTCCTGTAAATCTACTTTGGTAAATATTTGTACAGATGCTGTTCCAGAGAGCTCTGCTGCTCTTGGAGACACTGAAAACCTTTGTTATAATTTGTGTTTTCCTCTAAATATTGCACAAAAGCTGTGGCACCACTGTAAATCATGCCAGAAAATACAATTATTGCCACAGTGCAGGTGTGTTTATTTATTTGTGCTGTTTGATCACATGTGGGCTGGCACAGACTGCAAGAAATTCCATTTCTAAGAGTTTTCCTGCTATAAATTGATTTTAGATACATCATTCAGGACCCCCAGGAAGCATTTTTTAATACCTGTTAATTAGCAATGATACCCAATTAGATACTAAATAGAATCCTGATTTTGGTGTGGTTTATATCTAAATTAAAGATTGTTCAGTAGCACACAGCTATTGTAAAATAAAAAAAAAAATCTGAGCTAAGTTGAAGGCCTACCAAAGCTTATGAAATAGACTTCAAAGTAATTTATTTGAAAAAAATAACATTTCAAAAGCTGCTTACATCTAACTGTATCACATGTAAAGTCATCACAGCACATAAAATAGTCTTTGAGGAAAGCTAGATAATAAAATAGGAGTAAAATCAAAAGTTCTGCTTTGTAAAAGATCTGAATAGTGGAATTTTATTCCCTAAAGCACAAAAGGCTGGATGACCTTGTCCTGTATCCCCTTCCCAAGCATCCAACTTGGAATGAAGGTCACATTTCAGATCTCAATAATGCGTTGTTGTTAATATTTTCTTCTGTCTTCAATCACAGAACAACACAGTGTTCATGTTAATTCTTGGCCTCACAGATCCTCAAATTCTAGTCATAGTAACAAATTTCTGTTTGAGAGCAGAGATAGGGATCAGCCTTATTTCTAAATGAAGGTAACTAATTTGCTGATTAAAATGGACTTAAAATACTAATTTATCTTTTACTTCTGCTCATCCCCTCCCATCCTTGCTCCCTTTATTCTTCTCCCCCTTACTGTTGTGATAAATAATATTTTTGTGGCTAGCAGTATTTTAATCTGATCAAACACAGATGCTGAAATCACTTTATAAAGCTTAATTGAAGCTGAATTGATATAAAGTGATTCTGTGTTTTGCTGATTTGAAGAAGTGAAAATCTGGAACCACTGCAAGTCCCCCTCCCTCAGAGAGGGGCTCGATAAGGCTGGACAGGTACAGGTTTAGGTACAGGTTCAGATACAGATCTAGATAAAGGCTCAGGTACAGATTCAGGCAGAATTCATGTACAGCTATGAGCAGCTATGAGCACAGGTACTGTTATGGGTACAGATCCAGGTACAGATTCGTGTACAGGTGCAGCTATGAGCACAGGTACTGTTATGGGTACAGATCCAGGTACAGATTCGTGTACAGGTGTAGACACAGGTGCAGGTACAAGCACGAGTTCATGTACTGCTTCACACACAGGTACAGGTTCAAATTCAGGTACAGGTTCAGATTCAGGTGTGGTAAGAGGTACAGTTAATGTAGAGATAGAAGCAGAGGTAAAAGCACAGGCTTGGTCACAGGTACAGGTTCAGGAAAAGGTTTAGGATGGGGCACAGATACAGGTTCAGGAGGGGCACAGGTACAGATCCAGGCACAGAACCATGCCCAGGTCCAAGCCCAGGCTCGGTCACAGGCACAGACCCATGCCCAGGTCCAAGCACAGGCTCGGTCACAGGCACAGACCCATGCCCAGGTCCAAGCACAGGCTCGGTCACAGCTCCGTGCGGGGCCCGTCCCGCCGTGAGGGACCGGCCGCTCCCGCAGCACTTCCCGAGCAGCGCCTGAGGCGCGAGCGGCTCCGCGAGGCGGCGCCTCCGTTTGAACTCAAACCACCCTCGCCGCTCCCCATTGGCTCCGCTGCGCGTCGCGCGCCGCCCCCTCCGCCAATTAGAGGCCACCGCGCTCCTTTTCGAATGTTCAACGGTCCGCGCGGTGCGTTCGTTTCTGCCTCCGCTTATCCGGTATGGGGTAAAGCTAAAAGAGTCCCTCTGCCCGGTGCCGCTTGTCGCGTTCGCGCGGGATCGATGATGTCCCGCCGCCGTGGCTGCTGCCGGCAGGCGCCGGAGGTGGCGGCGGCTCCCGGTCCGTCCGTTTGCGCGGCTCCCGGGGGCTCTGTTTTGGTGCCTGGCGGAGGGATACAGAGGGGCGGAAGGGGGGGGCGCAGTGCGAGGACTCGGGGGCCGGCGCGCGCGCGCGGGAAGGGCTCAGTGGGCGCCGCGCCGTGCCGGGAGCGCGCGTCGGACGCCGCCACACGGGGCCCCTCAGCGGCCGCCAGCGCTCCGGCTGACACAGGTACGGGTGGGCCAGCGGGGAGGGCAGTACGGCCGGGGGGACGCGGCTGTGGGGTGCCGGCTGCCGCGAGGAGGAGCTGGGCTGCCTGACACCCCGCTGCGGTGGCCACCTACCCCGCCATGGTGGCTCTGGCGCTCTGCCATGGTGGCTGTTGCCCCTTCTCCCCCGGTGTTTGCCTGTCCTGTCCCGCCTGAAGCCCGGGCTGCTGGGGTCGCTACCTGAATATCGATTTCTGCTTTTGTAGCTTTTTTGGCCTGTGGGAGCTGGTGGCTGCCGTGGGCAGGGCGCTCCCGGTGCAGACACCGAGTGTTTGCGTGCCCTGAAGCCTGAGGGACTGCCGGCTTCCCTTCCAAACTGTCTGCTTGTCAGCAGGTGTTTTATCGCATAAAACCCACCTAAACACTCCATGAGAGCCTCTCTCAACTGCTTTTAATTGCCTTGTTTTACCTTGCTGCCTTCAAATAGAGTGTTAATAAAGATGCTTCTTTGACGATTGCATGTGGTAATCGTACATATATATTAAATTACGAATTATGTGAAAATACGTGAAAGGGTATCTTTTTGCGCTGTGGGTTTGGGGTTTTTATGCCAGTTCAGTGCTGTTTCCTCCTCTGTCGTGTGTGCACCATCGCGACAGAGCCCAAGTTCCAGCCCCTTCCAGCTGTTCCTGCTGCCCCTCTCCCCTCCTTTTCCACCAGGATACAACTACAATCACCAGCTCTTTATTTTAAATCCAAATCTGAGAATTTCCCTTTGGGTAAGAGATTGAAAGATTTAGATTTATGTGAAGTTCTTAAATTGTTTATGGGACAAAATCTGTATTGCTCCTGAACCTTTCCAAGGTCCTGATGGGTAATAAAAACTACCTGAATACCAACATTAGTCTGACGATTTATATAAACACATTCCTAATCTTTTACACAGAGAAACACATATAAACAGCACTGACATCCTTCTGCTGTCTATTGGAAAATATCTAATCTCTGGAACAAAATAAAGCATAAAGGTTTACATCCATGTGCTCTCATAAACATGTAAATCATAATTAGCATGAGTAACCTGGGTGTTTTTTATAGGTAAGGTTCCTTATGTTTGAAGATGCCACGCTATGGAACAGTCGTTGTCATTAAAAGGAATGGGACTGATGGAATTGTTTTTCCACTCACCTCAACTTCTTGTTTATTTGGAAGGTGAGAATTTGCTTGCATACATTGAAATCATGAGTGTTTCCTGCAGATCATGTATTTTAATGCTTTTTTACAAAAATAAACATGCATTTAGGAATGGTGTACAGAGGAGGGAAGGTGGTACTGGACTGAGGTTAATGGAAGAGTAGAAAGTTAAACTTCATTTTATTACTGCTTTTTGTCCTTTCCTTGCCTGAACTGCTTTTATTGATTGGTTGATTTTAAATTTGTGGTCACAGGAATTCAGGGGGGGGAATTAAAGGTGATAAGACCAAAATCAAGTCAAAAGCATTAGAGATTAGCTTAAGAAAAGGACAGAAAGGAAAAGTCTGTACATTTATAAACATATTTTTACTCACTAATTTTAAGAAGGTGGAAATGGTTATGCAGGCGAGACCAAAGTCCAGTTACCTGTTTGCAGTCTCAGGTCAGAAATGTAAGCCTGAGAAGGACTTTAACAGCTCATTTTGTCTAAAAATATTCCCCAAGTCTCAGCAAGCTCTGGAGCAAGTTAATCCCACAGCACCAGCTGTGCTGTAGCCGTGTCTCAGCTTGTTGTGATCTGCTTTTTGCAGTTTGGCTGTTTCTCTGTTTCCTGATCTCAGTTCTCTGATGCTGGAAGAGTGAACTGCTTTTTTACCAGTTTAAAAAGACTTTGGTAATTAATTTTCTTCAAATTAGAGACATCACGCTGCTGTACCATTACTAACTAAAACGTTGGGAAATGCCCTAATTCTCCAGCAGATCTCCCAGTGTTTTGTGTGGAACTGAACCTGTGCTTTGCCCCCAGGAAAACAGAATGTGACATCCGCATGCGGCTGCCCTGGGTGTCCAACGAGCACTGCAAAATCGAGATCAATGAGAACAAGGAGGTGAGCTGTGATGTTTCACTGCAGCACGCATTGCCTCGCTGCATCTCTGCAGGTGTCTCACGTTTTTGTTTGCTTTTCAGGCAGTCCTGACCAATTTGAGCTCCGTGAACCCCACGCAGCTGAACGGGGCTTGCTTTGAGCAGCCTGTTCCCCTGAAGCACGGAGATGTGTTAACCATTATTGATCGTTCTTTCAGGTGCGTGCCAGGCACAGGCTCTTCAATTGTTTCATTCTAGAGTGGAAATAGTGTTTAGTTCATATTTCTCTATAAAATCTTGCAGGATTTTGTCAAAGGCAACATTGCTTGAAGTTATCTTTTTATCGCTTGTATTACGTTAAGCTAAATCAGTAAAGATAGAATTGTCTAGACATCATTCTGATTTTGTTTCAAGAGCTGTGTTAAAGCCTTTTAAATGGAGATGTGTGCACTTTTGGGAGAGGGTAACTATTCCCAAGTCATTCCTCTTAATACAGAATTGAGTCATCAATTATTTGACAAAAAATGGTATTTTAAAATCTTTTTTCAGGTTTGAATATCCTCTGCAATCAACACCGAAAAAGAGGCGTTCCAGGTCTCCAAAAGATGAAACTCTGCAGGTAACTTTGTGGCTGGGGATTTTCCTTTACAAATATATTGGTAGTAGTAGCATGGTTTTCTATTTCCTTATTCTGTTTTCTTCTTAAAATAAGTTATACTTTTCTTATTAAAAGTAACTTTTCAGCCCTAAACTGCTGTTCTGTGTTAAAATACAAATAAACTCTTTCAGATAAATGCTTTGAAGGACTTAGTAATTTTGAGTCTAAATTTTAGTCAAAAATTTGTCACCTTTTGGTAATAGAGAATTAATAATTCATTATGTTACTAAGACAGAGCTATAAATCTTCCACTGGATTTGGTAAGAAAGGGAGGTTCAAGTGTTTTCATTCTTATTTTACAGCTGCTTTGACAGCTCAGAATTTAAATGATAAAACAAGATCAATTTCTGTTCTCTAGGGCCTCAAATATATTGGCCAATGTTAAATATTGAAAAGTTTAAGGATTTAATTTGAATACTTTAAAGCTTGTTTAGGGACAGTGCATATTCCCTTATAAATAGGGTTTTTTCAATGTAGAGTTGAAAGTTGAAGTACAAAATATTTGTTGCTCTGCTGTAATGTTGTACAAATTTACAGGTTCTTCATGTTCAGCAGGTGGCAGAAGTGGAATTATTACACAAACAGCCTCAAGGAGCTAAAAGTCTTGATGCTTCAGGTTGGTACCTGTTTTATGAGGGCTTTGTTTGCTTTTGTCCCCTTAACTGCATTTATTATTGGTATTAGAATTAAAGTTAAAAGAGGAGGGAAAAGGCATTTTTCCAATGTGAGTGCACCTTGCTGTGTCAGTGGTTATCTCATCATGTTTAAATGCTGTGAATTCACCTTCGACATTAAAATTTTACTTGAACTGCTCTGCTGACCCACAGCTACACCTTTTTCTTTTTGCAAATATTGCATTATCTCATGCATTCTTTGCTAATAAAAAAAATTGGAACAAGTATAATTCTGGGGGTACATGGTATATATTGAAATAATTGTTTACAGGAACTGTTTCCTGTAGAACCAGAAAAATCCAGAGCTGCTGATTCTGGGTAATTATAACCCATAGACTGGGGAAATGCTAGGATTTCATCTTCCCATCCTTCTTGTCTTAAATAATCCAGATTTTCAGAGAAGGTTTTTTATTGTCATTTCTGGCAGATTTTTGTCCCAATTCAGAAAGCCCAGCTTACTTTCAAGTGTTCCATTTCAGTAGATCCTCGCTGACCAGGAAGATCTTTGCTGACCTGGATCTTCCCCCTTGGGAGGGAAAATAAGGAATTTTTAATCTGTATTTATGGAACTTTTGTTTGTAGCTCTGCAATTTTCAAGTAACTCTGCATCTGTATTTTTGTTTCACTTTGCTTTCTTTGTAGATAATGCTGAATGTAAAGAAAAAAATGCCAATGAAAATAAACAAACTCCAGAGGAAAATCTTCCTGAAGCTTTCCCCGTCAAACTCCAAACACCCAAATCTTCACAGAGAATACATTGTGTTCTTAAAAAGCAAAATGAAATGTCTCCCTTTAGTAAACTCTATGAAAGTGTGAAAAATGAGCTGAAAGTGAAAAAAGCTCTGCACAGGAGAAGTTCCTCTCAGCAAGCTGCAAAAGGAGACCCTGGGAGTGTTCTGCCAGAACCAGGTGCTCCCATTTCATCCCAGAGCTGTCCTTTTGATCTGGGCAGCCTGCCTAAAGGCAAGGAAACAGGCAGTGTGGAAAATATTGAAAAATGTGTAATTGTGAGACGAGAAGAAGAAAACAGCCCAGGGTTTAACCAGCTGTCAGCTGCAGGGAGAACCCCCAGGAGGAGTTTTACCAGGAGTCCTCGAGCTCCCATTTCAAAGGAGATGTCAGGAGATGCCAGTCAGAGTCCAGTGCCGGATCCCAAGGAATTAAGGACACCAGGCAGATCCAGAAGTGCTGCAGTTACACCCAGATCCAGCAAGGGGAACCACAGGAACTCTCTGGTTTTGCTGGAGCAGTGCTCCATAGAAAGGTTTGAGTGTCCAGTTCAAGGGGCAGTGTGCAGTCCCACCAACTGCAGTGCTGCTGAAGGATCTCCGTGTGTGCTGAGCACACCAAGGCCCAGGAGGAAGAGTCCTCGGTCTCTTTTTGTGTCACCTCCCAGAGAAACCACTGAAGTGAATCCTGGAAATCCTGACGCTTCAAGGACACCACGGCGTGGGTTGTTGAAACTGAAGTCACTTCCAGAGATCCCAGCTGAAGTTCCAAGTGAAGATGCAGGGTGCAGAATCGAGAACACACAACTGCCTTTGCCAGAAGACAAAAGCTTAAAGCAGCGACGAAACAGCAAACAACGAACACCAGGAAAACCTGCCCAAGAGGTGCTGAAAGAAATCTGGGATCAGGCAAACCTGGATAACTCAAAGGTGGGACACTGTGAAACCCCTGCCTCTCTCTCTAATTCCAAGAGTCCCAGAAGAAGCAGCAGGGAAAGTAAAGAATTCTTGGACAAAAGTGCCCATTTAGAGGCATTGGCTGCAGAAGGAATGTTGGCATCTCCTGCTGGTCAGACACCTGGAAGGAAAAGGGGAAGGCCAAGGAGCTCTGGAGTGCTGGCTGAAACAGCACCGGAGACAAACACTGCTCAGGACCAGCATGATTCAGACAGAAAAGTCAGTGCAACTCCAACAGAACTGACCATGAACACATGTCACCAAAACCAGGATTTGGAAGATGATCCAAGACCTCGGAGACCATCAGTCAAGAGAAGATCTTCTGGAAATGCTGCTGAGCTGAGAGACACTGAGCCTGGCTCAGAAACCAAAACTGTTGGCCTCTTGCAAGGAGAAGACTCAGGTAAGTACTTTGAATTCCCTGCCTTTTTTTTTTTGTATTTGAGAAACTCTGTAGCACTTTTGTAAGAATTCCTCCACTTGGGTAAAATGTGGAACAAATTACTGACAGTAATAGTAAAATATTTATCATGGAGTTACATTTGACCTTAACAATACATAATATGTATAAAATATCCTGAATTTAATCTATTTCCCTTTGAGGTAAGTTTCTCTGGGTTTGTTTCCAACTTTGAAATGCACAAGGAAAGATTAAAATGCTGCCTTGTATTCTTGGAGATCTAAAAATCGTTTCAATTGTTATCTTCAGGCAAGACAAAAAGAATCTCTCAGAAGAGGAAAAGTGGTGAAACGCTCCCTCAGACTCTGGGCAAAAGAAAGAGAGTGTCCTTTGGTGGTCATCTGAGCCCAGAACTCTTCGATAAAAGCTTGCCTCCCAACTCTCCCCTGAAAAGAGGAGCTCTCCCTGCCAGGAGGAGTTTACCCCATGGAAACTCTCCTCGGGCTGTGCTCAAAAAGGCTCAGGGCTTGAAGCATTGGATAGATCAGGTAAATGTTCAGAGTAATCAAGTTGCTGAGTCCATTACTGCAATCAGAATTTATAAATTCTATTGTATATGTATTTATTATTTATTAATTCAAAATTAGTAGTAACCTGTGTGTGTTGCATGCTGGTGTCACTCATGAGTGGTTTGGGATGCTCAGAGAATCATCAGCTAAAACAGGTTTATAATAAAGTGAAAGTACAACCAAGTTCATTGGCAAGGTCACTCTGCTACTTACTGGATGAGTAAAACACACAAGGGAAAATCAGGCTAAAAGTTTAAAATCAGTCAATTTGAAACTATAGTTGACATAAAATTATTTCATTGGTGGCTGGGGATGGATGAAGGGTGAGGATCAAAAGTAAGGTAAACCCTCCTGCCCAACTTAGCCCAGACTTGATCAACAGTTTAGGAATCATTTATCATTCCTGAAAAAGTAAAATCCAAGTCTCAGGCAGGGTTTGCCTGAACTGATCACTTCATTAAAAAGAAGGAAATATCCTCCATTCATTAATTATTTTTTTTTTCTAGGAAGAAAAAAAGTCACCCAAAAGTTCCCCAGCCCAGCAGCCCCCAGATGCCTCATCCCCTGTCTCAACACCCAAAATCCCTTCAGGCTCCCCAGCCCCCTTCAGGAAAGGGCGTTTCTCCATCTCCCAGCCCCCCACACCATTCCCCATTGCAGAGGAGAAGGATGCTGGCACAGAAGACATGGATCCAGAGGGGAAGAGTGGTGTCCAGGGGAAAACCCCAAAATCTTCCCCTGCTGCCCAAGACGCCAAAGCCTTGGTGACAGGGACACCTGCCAAGTCAGCCAGAGGTGCCCAGCTGCGCTGGAAGGGCTCCTCCAGGAAGAGCAGAGGTGGGGCTGTGGCTGTTATCAGTGCCAAGAGGAGAAGTGGTGCCTCCAGTGCCAATTTATTAGGTTGGTTTCAACAGTTAATTTTTAATACTCACTTTTCATGCTTTTAAAATACAGGAACCACAATGGAAAAAGTTTGTTTTGTTATGCAGATGCCACCAAATAATTGGTGAATCTTCTGAAATCTGCTGGCCTTAGTGGAAGTGAAAAGTGTTGTATTTTCTCATTCATTCAGCAAATGTATTAAAACATCTATCAACTCATTTAAAGACAAATACTAATGCTCAGAAGTTAAAAAATGGTAAAATTAACATTCTTTTTGCAAGGTTAGAGTCATGATCTTTAAAATCTGTCAAGTAGCGTTAAACTAAACCATGTTTATCACATCAGTTTTGTTTTGAAAAACTTAACATTTTATAGCAATGCAGTTTCACTTTGGTTATTCTGTGCCTTCTTTTTATACTCACAAGGCTCACAAACTTTGTGCAGGAACTGGGCCACATTTCACTACTCAAAGTGGTACATAACTGATAGAAATAAAAAATAGGATCATAACTGGGTGTTACTTTCAAATCCTCAGAATTCCCTGTGTTGAACATGATTTCAAACAGTTTTGACAGCATTGGAAACTAATAGGGGAGTTCTGGTTGTGCAGGTTTTGACTTTTGAATAAACTTTGAAGTAGGGTGTATTTGTCACCTGTTTTCATCAGTTAAATCAGTTTGACAAAGTCAAATTCCCCATTCACCCAGGATTTTTTATTACTTTATTATTCTGTCCATTTTAATGGCAGGAGAGCTCTTGACAAATACCAGTGGCATTCCATTTCTCACCACCTCTGTAATGTGCTTTTTAATATCACTGCATCAATTCCTTCTGTAATTGGAAAAGAACATCACAGCTCTTAAAAATTTCAGCTCCAAAATAAAACTGTTTCCAGTGCTAGTTCAGATAATTTCCTGGATGCTTGGTATTTTCCTCTGCATCCTGCACACCCTGCCAATGTCAGCTTTTCAAAGTTCTTTTTATTTACAGACTGACATAGCAATTCTGACAAAGAGAATAACAACATCCTTTTCTTGGATGGAAAAGGAACAGCATTCCCCTTTTTATCTCTGCTTTAAAAAGTATTTTCTTTTATATGATCCCTCTGTTCTGGTAGCTTTTTTTCCTGAAGTAAACAAGGCAGGTGTCCTACAACTTCCAGCTTCATTTATTCCACAGCTGTAATTCCCTGCTCCCACTGCTGTGTACAGAATGATGCTGTGATGAAGGGAACCTTGCTTTGGGAATTTTGGGAGTGTGTCACAAGGAGAAGGTGATACAAGAAAGATTATGGGAAGTCTGTAAATCTAAATTCAGGATAAATAACTGAAATTCCTCAGGAAGGTGGTGAAATAAACTTCACTTAGAAACAATTTCTCTTCTGTTAAATCTCACCAGAGTAAAGCTCATCTATAATGAACGAGGCTGAAAAGCTCATGGCAAGTTTCTGTTGGGAAAAATGAGTTCCTTCCAAAAGAGAGAGGAAGGAATTGGGTCAGTGTTCAGCTGTAGGATCTGAGCTGTGTTTGACACTGTGTGAAGCTCATTGTTTTGGTGTGGAAAGCCACACTGGGTACTTGGAGTCTTCAGCTGAAATGGGGTTTTCAAATTGAGAATATTTCAGAGAACACTTCAGGTGTTACCAGGTCATAACAACCACTTTCCTCTGCCAGACTGCAGAAAATGTATTGGAATCATAACGAAATAATTGTGAACTTCTATTTATGCAGCTGAGAGTTAAATTGGTTTTCTCTCCTTTTCTTCTAGTTGCAAAATCTTGGGCAGAAGTGGTAAAATTGGGGGTTGCAAGACCACAGCCAAAGACTGCTAAAAAAAGTGTCCGTAAAGGAAGAGCCCTGAAGAAACTAAACCACCCCCCAAAGGTATCCTTTTCTTTTTTTTGTGTTGCTTTGTTTTCCTGCATATCCACCAGGAAGCTTGGATGGATTTTGATTGAGTAGCTGAGCTCTTGGTGTGATGTAAAATGGGAGTTGATGTCTCCCACAGCATATGGGAAATGGAGATTTGTATAAAAAGAATCACAGAATTATTAGGGTTGGAAAAGACCTCCAAGATCTTGGAATCCAACCTCTGATTCTAAAAATCAGGCAGGACCTGCCTTTCCTAAACTCAGGCTGGCTAGGCCTTCCAACCCTTGCTGGCACTGGACATCCTCCAGCCTTCTGGAGCCTCCCAGTTAACCATGGCTGATGATAAATTATGGAAGGAGCTTGGCCACCTCTTCCACCATCAATCTTTGTTTAAGAACTCTTTAACTTTTTTTTTTTTCTTTTCCCTCTGCAGACTCCAGAGAAGAAAATAAAAGGTCACTTCAGCACAGGTCATGCAGAGTCACCTGCTACCATAGTTGTAGGTAGAGCTTATTCCACCACAGTCAGGTCAGCTGGACACGTCCCTAAAGTGGTGAAAAATCCCAAGCTGAAGCTCAACATGGAAATGGATGAAAGTTTCACAGGTGAGATTTCAAAGTCTGTTGCTTCATCTGCCTGCTGTGCAGTTCTTCTGTCAGAACATCTCATTTCTCCAAATATCATTTCTAGGGGTGCCTGAAATGTTCCAAACTCCAGAAGACCAGGGAGGAAGAACATTTCCTTTGGCTGCTGCTCAGAATGCTGATGTTACACCACCATGGGCTGCAGGAGACATTTCTGACTTGCACACTCCTGAGGAATCTGGTAGGTTTGGTATTTTAAAAAAGAATATTTAGGTATATTATGGGTTAGCAGCAGTCTCAGCCTAGGCGGACTTAACTGAGGTGAAGCATCCAGCAACTGTGAAAGGAACCATTGAGATTTATCAGGTATTGAAAGAAAATGTAGTTCCAGTTAATTTCTGAGTAGGATATTTTATTATTCATTCCATTTGGTATGGAACTTCAAGCTGCTGATGTGTTGTTTCAGACACTGAATGCCCAATGCTCGTGTTTGGATTTTGATTTCAAGAAGGGTATATTTGAATTTAATTTTTTTATTATGCAGCAATTAAAATGCTTTGATTTTCTGCTTAATTTGTTTTCCAAATGACATAAGTCTACTGCTTATTTCAGGAGAGATGATGGTGTCACCATTAAATAATTCAGATGCTTCAGAGCAGAAGCAAGAGAGTCCAGGCATATTCCACCTTCTGAGAGAGGAGTCATCTCCATCTATGTTTGATGAAATAGCCACAAAAACTCCTGTAAAAAGAAAAGCTGTGCACAAGGATGCTGTGGATAGTTTAGCAGTAATTTCGGAAAAACCAGCATCTCAGGTGAAATCAGGAAGTAAAAGGAGGACTCCAAAGCAGAAGCTGGAGCCAGCTGAGGTCATGTCAAGCAAAAGGAAGATTTTAAGGACCCCTGAGCAAAAGTCAGAACCAGGAGAGGCTTTGTCAGGTATCAAGAGGCTCATGAAGACCCCAAGGCAGAGGCCTGAGCCTACAGAGGTTTTGTCAGGCATCAAACAGCTCATGAAGACCCCAAATCAGAACTTGGAGCCTACAGAAGTTTTGTCAGGCACCAAGCACCTCTTGAAGACCCCAGATCAGAAGTTGGAGCCTGTAGAGGTTCTGTCAGGCATCAAACAGCTCATGAAGACCCCAAATCAGAAATTGGAGCCTGTAGAGGTTCTGTCAGGTATCAAACAGCTCTTGAAGACCCCAAAGCAGAAACTGGAGCCTGAGGAGGTTCTGTCAGGTATCAAACAGCTCTTGAAGACCCCAAAGCAGAAACTGGAGCCTGAGGAGGTTCTGTCAGGTATCAAACAGCTCTTGAAGACCCCAGATCAGAAATTGGAGCCTGTAGAGGCTTTGCCAGGCATCAAACAGCTCATGAAGACCCCAAAGCAGAAACTGGAGCCTGGACAGGTTCTGTCAGGCATCAGAGAGCTCATGAAGACCCTAAAGCAGAAACTGGAGCCTGTGGAGGCTTTGTCAGGCATCAGACAGCTCATGAAGACCCCAAAGCAGAAACTGGAGCCTGGACAGGTTCTGTCAGGCATCAGAGAGCTCATGAAGACCCTAAAGCAGAAACTGGAGCCTGTAGAGACTTTGTCAGGCATCAAACAGCTCATGAAGACCCCAAAACAGAAACTGGAGCCTGTGGAGGCTTTGTCAGGCATCAGACAGCTCATGAGGACCCCACGGCGGAAGCCAGAGCCAGTGGAGGACCTGTCGGGCATTAAGCAGCTCCTGAAGACCCCACAGCAAGAGCTGGAACCACTCACAGATGAAGTTGCCTTGAAAAGGTTGCTAGAGACTCCAGTAGAGAGCAGGGAAGCAGTAAAAGCTGTGCCAGGTGTGACTTCAACCAAGAAAACCCCAAAGCTGAAATCCCAACCCATGGAAGACATGGTTGGGATCAGCCGCATTTTCCGGACACCAAAGGAAAAGGTTGAGCCTGTGGAAAACATGTTTGGAATTAGCAGATTGATGAAATCTCCTAAAGAGAAATATCAGCCAGTTGAGGATTTTGTGGGGCTGCAAAGGCTCATGGCAGAACCCAGGCAGAAATCTTCTGATTCTGAAGTGGACTATGCTGGAGTGACTGAAATGTTTGGTACCCCAGAGGAAATGAAGGTAAATACTTCAACTTTTGAAAAGGGTGTTTTTAGACTTTGAAACCTGTGGTTTAAATTCATATAGACTTTCTTGTATGACACTTTGTATCTTGCAACATTTTATAGGGAAAGCTACATTTGTGTGTGTTAAAATGTATTTATTTGAAAGGACCTGTCACAAACGAGTGTTTGAAGGTTGTTTAGGTATCATAAAAACAGGCTTAATATAAAAGTGGTTAGGTTAATATAAAAGTGACATTCCCAGCACCTCTCACTCACCATTCCACACTGACCATTACAGGTAGGAGAAGTGAAGTTCTGCAGTCAGTGGGTCAGGTTTGGTGAGGTCTGTGCCCAGCCTGGTTTGTTCTGGTGCTGCTTTTTGTGTGAAGAATCTTGATCTTCAGTGGAGATGTGCTGACATCACTGCCAGTATCATTTCCTGAAAAAAATATTTTTATTCTGATATTCTATATGTTAAATTCTGAGTATCCCTGGGCTTAGTGCTTAGAACACAATAAAACACTACAGAACACTCAATTTCTCTTCAATACCCCAAATTCCCTTTCAGCACTCATTTAGGCACTCCTCAACCTCTCTGCAATGTTGTCTTTCACTTTAGATGGCAAGAATTGAATTTGCTGTGTTGGTGGGTTTATATCAGATAAATGGATGTATGTATAAGACTAAGTGATTTAATTTGTACAGAAAATAGTTTCACAAGCTTTTTTATAAACATTGCTGTACATTCATCTGGTATTGGTTGGCTCCATAAGTTCTTATCCTGTCAGACATGCATTTATTCAGTATTTTTTATTCCTTTAGGTCAGATCAGTATATGTTATGGATTCTCAGGGAGAAATTGCACCTCCTGGTTCTAATTCCAGTCATAAACATGGTAAGAACAAGTATTTTGCTTAGAGGAGTAGTGAATGTATAAAATCATAAATGTTACCATGAAGTTCAAATGTTGTTTAAACCTCTCTCATTGAGCCCAGCTATTTCCTGAGCTAAGATCATTTTTGCCATTTGACCTATCCAAATAAATTAAGCAACTTCAGTCAGAGGCCTGGCCTTAAATGGTAGGGATTGGTTAAATATTTCTTTATTTATTCTATGATTTGTTTGAGCAAGATGCCTCTGTGAGGAAAATGGAAATACACAGATACTTTGATCAGGCACAGCAATGTCTAATTTTTGTTTGTGCTCTTTACCCTGTTCTAGAAGAGAAAGGAAAAGTTTCCCAAGGTGAAGATTCCCAACAGAAGGACTCATCTGGGGAAGAGCAGCCTACCCAGAGACCCAGAAGGGGCAGGAGAGCTGTACCTCCTGCTGCAACAAAACCAAGTGAAAATGGTGTGAGTTTAAAGGATTTGCAGAGTCCTGACACCCAAGAGGAGATGGGAGTGATCACACCTGAAAACAAGGGAAGAGGAAGGAGGACAAAGCGTTGCATACAAGAAGTTGTTCCAAAGTGTCCTGATCAGGAAGGGCTTGACATTGTGAAACCACCTGGAGCTACCCAGAGACCAGGGAGAGGTAAAAGGAAAGAGCTGAGGGAGTTAAAACATCAAAATGAAAATCTGGAGTCTCGTGTTGAAGATTCCTCAGTGCTACAAAAAGCACCTGCAAATACCAAACAGAGTTTGCAGGACTGTGGCATCAGTGAAACTGAAGATGATCCAGGCACAAAAACAGGACTGGGAAACATTCAGAGTGAAATCTGTCAGCTGCAAACAGGTTCAAATAATCCTGATAGCAAAGGTACTGACAGTGGGATAGAGGACTGTGAAGAAGTGCTCCTGTCACCAAGGAGGAGGCGCAGAGGAGTGGAGAACACAGAACCAGTGATTCTCCCCAGAAGAGGGAGACGAGCAAGGAATGACCAAGGTGAAGCAGCTTCTCCAGGAGACCTTCACAGAGCAGCCAAAAAGCTTCGTAAAGACCCATCCCCAAAGGTTTCACAAAGACAGGAACAGGCTTGTGACAAAGCTCCTGAGGCTGCCACAGCACAAGAATCTGAAAATGGCACTAAACTTGAACTAAAGGCAGCAGAGAGAAGAGTTAAATCTCTTAGAAGTACTAGAAACAGAAAGCACTCAGCTGAAATAAAAGCAGACACTTGTGGGGTCGTGCTTGAAAATACACAAAACATTCAGCAAACTGAGGAAACATCAACAGAAACTGATGCTGAAATGCAATCCCACGTGAAAAATGAGATGAAAGGATCTCAGGGATGTGAAACAGAAAATGCTCAGGAAAATACAACAGAGGCAGCTCGAAGATTAAAGGCAGAGTCACCTTCTGCAGAGACAAACAAAATGCCAGTCAGTGCTCAGAACATGGAAGCAAAGAGGACTAGAAACAGGAGAGGCAAAAAAGACTCTTTGGAGCAAGAAGCTGAGGAATTCACTGAAAATGTGAACAGCCAAAAACCAACTGCTCCCAAACTTAATTCAGAAACAGAAGTGGATGAATCTTCTCTCCAGGATTCCATGGGCTCTGTGTGTGTCAGTGCAGCCCCAGGCAGGAAGGAGCAGGCCAGCCCAGGTGCCCCATCAGTCCCTGCTGCAGACGGTGCCAGTCCTGCTCAGGGCAGTCAGAGGAGGACGAGAAATGAACGGGGAATACTTCAAGAACAGCAAACTGGAATCCTGCAGGGCAATCCAGCACAAAGAAATGCAGGGATGCGTAGAAGAGGAAGAGGTAAAAAAGTTAATTTTCAGCTTGAAGAAGGCAGTTCCAAAGCAGTAGAAGGAAAAAGTTTAGCTGAGGGTGATGAAGGGATGACTGCCAAAGATAACCAACATGAGAGTTCCGAAAATCCTCCTTCACAGGGAAGGAGGGGCAGGAGAAAGCAACTTGATTCCACCCCACAGAAAGCTAGTCCTGCCTTGGTGGAAAAACAAACGTTAAGTGCAGATCACAGGAAAGATGAGGCTGTTGTACAAGAACCAGGATCAGCTTTGGAAGCTGCTCCCTCTTCAGCAGGGGACAATCCACCGAGGCGGGGCAGGAGACGCGAGGTGGCCGCAGCATCACAGAGCAGATCTCCTTCTGTCAGAACGAGACGTAGGCTGCTGGAAGGTGGTGCTAGACAGATGGCAGAGAGAGAAGAGGAAAATCCAGCTCTGGGTAATAAAACTTTACAGCCAAAAGTGAATGCACCAGCAAGGGACAGAAGGAAAAAGATGGATCCGGCAGCAGAGGCAAGAAGTTCAAGTCCTCTCCAGGGAAAATGTGGCTTGTCAGAGACTAAAGATGAGGGTACTCAGGAAGAACAAAGTGTGCCTTTGGAAGCAGTGTCCTGTGCAAAGGAGAAGCCAGCAGGAAGGAGCAGGAGGAAAGAAACTGCTCTGGCATCACACACAACCAATTCCATCTCTCTTCGAGGGAAGCGCAGGTTGCCGGCAGGTGATGGAGAAGAAGCTCCCAAAGAAAAGCAGAATGTTCCCGTAGAAACTTGTGATTCATCTGGAAAAGAAAATCAACTGAGAAGAGGCAGGAGGAAGGAAATTACCCCCTTGGTAGAAGCCAAAAGTTCTATTCAGGGAAACCAGATCCTGTCAAAGCAAAGTGGTAGAAAAAATAACAATATGGAAGCTAAACAGAATTTGGACAATTCTTCCCAAGAAAATACAGAGCTTGTAAAAGGGAGCGCAAAGCAAGCAACCACTTCAGTGGCTCTTAGTCCCACCTCACTTCAGGGTTTGCCAGAAGATGGTAAAGACAGAATTCCTGAAGAAAAAAGTAAACTTTTGGACATAGCTCCACCTGCAAATGAAATTCCATCAAGAGTGAGCAGGAAGAAAACAACTTCTTCCACTTCTGAAGAAACAATTTCCACTTCTCTCAGGGGAAAACCCAACCTGCCCAGAGGCAGAGGTCAAAAGAGGATTCTTAAAGAAAGTGAAGATGCATCTCCAGAAAATAATCCATGCCAGGGGAGAACAAGGCAGTTGAGAAACAATAGGAGGAAGGTGGAGGTGTCAGAGGCAGCTACTTCTTCTCCCCATGAAAGCAGTGACTTGCCAGGAAATGGCCACACTCTGGGAGCTCAGGATTTGAGTGGAGCACCCCCTGGTTCTGAAGAGAATCAGTCTGGAGAGGGCCAGGAGGGTGACCCTGCTCCGCAGGCAGCCCCCTCCTCTCGCAGAAGGAAGTGCCAGCTGCCAGCAGAGGACGTGGCACCCAAAAGATTCAGATCAGGTGAGGCAAGGCTTGGCTTTCTCCACAACAATTGTGTGCAGAGCTCTGGGGCTGCTGATGGAAAAGATCCAAGATCCCAGCCCCTCCACGTCCCTCCTGAGCTGAGGGACCCAAACTGGGCACAGCACTGGAGGTGCCTCCCCAGTGCCCAGTGCAGGGGGACAATCACTGCTGCCTCCTAAAATATTCCCTGGAGTTTTCAGCTTGACTTAGAAACTCCCAATTAGAAAATATTATCAAATGAATACTTTGAGATAGAAATGGCAGCAAGTTTTTAGTGCTACAGGAAGGAATTTCCTGCCATAAAACCTGCTCTGTTTTCATTTTTGCAGGACTTTGGTGTTGGTTCTGTTTTAGTTTTACATATCAGTGGAAGGAATTTTAGCTAAAATGGCAGCTAATTGGTTTTGGTGCTCTCATTAATGTTAACCTACTTTCAGAAATAGCTGTAAATCCTCAGGGATCCAACTTAAAGGATATTGCATGTGCAGAATTGTGGGGTTGGTATCTGGTTTGTTGAATTCAGATGTAATCTTTGAAATGTTGTCATGGGGGACATTTCCTTTCAAAACAATGTAGGTGAGGATGGAATTTTGTGGGAAATGTTTGATTGATGATACAAATTGACATTTTTTCCATGTGCAATTAGGGAATGATGAAAATGGGTCTGTCCAAAGAGGAAGAAGAAACAAAACTAAACTTGGAGAAGAGGATGCAAGGGCAGCTCCGACCACTGGAGGGATGGAGAGGAGGACAAGATCCAGCACAAGAACAAGGAAATAGCCTTAAGAGTCCCAGAACAAGTTTTTAAATCAGTTCAGTAATTCCAATTGCAGGTTTTTTTTAATGTGAATTGATTTGTGTTGCTATCTTATTGTAAAGCTTTCTTTCCTGGGTGATTTCTCATAGGCAGCTCTTCAGCACAGCCAACAAACTCCAATTTCCTCCTCAGCCCAGCCAACCTCTCTCTTCTTGGTTGCAGCTGTGGCTTGTTCTTAATCTTTGGTAGTTGGTACAGCTGCAACTCCTCAGGGGTAACATGACCTTATATTCCATCCCCCCACAGATTTGCACTCTGATTTTAAGCTAAGATTTCTGGTAATTACATGGTTACTTCACAAAATATACTTCTTAATGTAGATAAGATAGGAAGTAGATATTTCTTTAGTAGCTTTGCCAACGTGTGGTGGTTCCTAAACCATGGGGTGCTTGTGTAAAGCTGCAAACATAAATTACATTTTGTTTTACCAGTGTTTCTCCCTTTTTCTTGTTGATCAGTACAGCAATCAGGAAGCCATATTACTGCCAGCTAAAGCTATTTTCTGCTGAAATTTCCCTACGCTTAAGTTTTATTTTTTGTTGGAGTTCTGTAAATATTCTCTTTTTTAAAAAAATAGTTGTATTAGCAGAAATATTATGCTAAATTTTTAATAAGTTTTTTAAAAGAGAATTAAATTTGTATTGAAAAGTGCAGCTTTTGAAGTCATTAAACTTGTAAACAATTTGGGACTTGTGTGGTTTTTTGGTTTTAAGAATCCTTAAGTATGTAATTGCTGCTGACTTACAAGTTCATTTCTAAGGTTGATCCTCTCTGGTTAATGTGCTTTGCAGACAGAGTTTTTAGGATTTTTTACAGATAATTTGTCTTCAATTTGTAAGCTGGGGGCTTCTTAAATGCAGAAACTGAAAATTCAGCCTGGGCATCAAACTTGTGTGCAGTTTTTGGACCTGAATTAAAATCCTCTGTTTATGTGGTGTGTGAGGAGTTGGGGATGTTTCTGCAGCAGAGCACTTGGAATTGGGATTGTTCAGGTTGGAAAAGACCCCCAAGACTCCAAACCTCAGATCTGATATAAAATTATGGGGTTTTTTTAAATTTAGGCTGGATTTTTTGTTTGTTTGTTTTTTATCATGTGGAACGTGCTGTACCCATATCCACAGAGGGTTTTTATTGAATTATAATGCACTTTTTAAAATTTAATTACTTCATCCTAGTGTGAAAATTCCAGTCTGTCCATACATCCAGGGTTGCTCCATCCCAGGTGCAGAATCTGGTATTTTCCCTTGAACTTCACATGGTTAAATGAGAAGTGGAATATATTATGGTGAGGGGTCTTTAGGTTTAATTTGGGTGGTTTTTTTTTTTGGTTTTTTTGGGTTTTTTTTTTCAATCCTGTTTCCCAATCATGAGATTCCTAAAACTTTAACCCTGAAATCTCAGAGGAAAGCAAAATTTTACCATCTCCCCTAAAATGAAAACTGCCTCCTCTGTGTTAGCAATGCCATGGTTGGGAAATGCAGGGATCCACAGGAATATTTTTCTGGTTCTCAGGAGTTGTTTGGGTTTTTTTCCTCCAGTCACTCAGATCTGTCACTTTTGGGTTTGGTCCTAGTTCAAATCTAACAAAAGCTCAGCTCAGATTAAATGCCTCAGTTCTCTTCCAGAGCTGGAGTTTCTCCCCTAGATGGAATTTGTGGATAAACTAAACTTGAGGAACATCTCCTGAAGTAAATTCTTCTCTAGCACTAAAAAATCAGGAATTGTCTCCTCTCATTGCCACTTTCCCAGGTGCCTCACTGGAGTTGGTCTTGAGTCTGAGAAGGAATCCTGGGCAATCTCTCCTTAAGGAATTTATCCCACTGCTTTTGTAGGAATTGGAGAAATGTCCAGAGTAAGATCCAGTTTCTGTAATCTCCTGTGGAGGTGTGTGCAAGGCCAGATGTGTTTGGTGAAGAAATGGACCAGGTAGGATGGGAATTCCCAAAGCAAAGGCTCATTTGTGGAAGTCTCACAGAAGGTGATGTTTCATTTTTGGGAATGTTCTACAGCCAGCCAGGAAATCAGGAGTTGAAGGTAGGTGGCTGATGCATTTTATTGTATTTATTTGGTTGTGGGGACCCTGCAGCCACCCAGACCAGGGCTTTGCTCACCCTCCAGGACATTTCCAGAGATCTACTCTGCGCTCTTTAAACTGATATTTAACATGAATTCCTGTTGATTCAAATTTGGTAAAGATGCGTTTTGTTTTATGGGCAGCTCCATTTCCACTCAGAAAATTTGAAACTGCAACTCTACCTCAAGGTAGATAATTCTGAAGGAGAGCTGAGACAAATCTTTTACCTGAGAGGTCAGCCAAAGAAACAAATCTCTTTCCTGGAGGAAAATTTCCAAATGATCTTTGTGATTTCTCTAGTGTTACCTACATTGTTGGTTGTGTAGCAGTGCAAATTTAAGAAAAAAAGGAAATGGTAGGAAAACTTCATCACAAACTTTCTGCATTGTCAATCTTTGATTTTTAGTCTGGGCAGATGATTTTCTTAAGGAAGGAAGAAAAGGAGTGGGACACAACATCAGGAAGCAGAGGTTTCTCTTAGTTATCCATGATTGTTTCTTGCATTTACAAGTTGCTGGGTATAGATATATGTATATGTTTTTATGTCTATGAATTTATTTGAAGCTAATTTCTCCAGTGACTTTGAGGGAGTAGTAAAGAAGAATGAGTATTTTAAATTTTGTGTAAATATAGAGTGCTGCCTGATAATGATATTTACCTCATTTAAGTTGGAAAAGCTCTCCAAAACCATCAAGTCCAACCCCAGCACTTCCGAGGCCACCACTGTCCCATGTCCCCAAGTGCCACCTCCTCATGGCATTTAAATCCCTGCAGAGTATTTATTATTTAAGCAGGAGCATTATTTTTCCAGAGGTTTTGGTTTGATCCTCCTTTTGGTGGCATTGTCACTGCTGTGCTGTCAATTGTCATCGATCCCTGTGGGGACCTCCATCTATCCTTTAAATTTCATCTCCACACACTTTGAGGGAGTAGTAAAGAAGAATGAGCATTTTAAATGTTGTGTAAATATAGAGCGCTGCCTGATAATGATATTTACTTCATTTAAGTTGGAAAAGCTCTCCAAAACCATCAAGTCCAACCCCAGCACTTCCGAGGCCACCACTGTCCCATGTCCCCAAGTGCCACCTCCTCATGGCATTTAAATCCCTGCAGAGTATTTATTATTTAAGCAGGAGCATTATTTTTCCAGAGGTTTTGGTTTGATCCTCCTTTTGATGGCATTGTCACTGCTGTGCTGTCAATTGTCATCGATCCCTGTGGGGACCTCCATCTATCCTCTAAATTTCATCCCCACACTTATTAAAAATAGATGGACTTCCTGCTTCCTCTATCTACATAAGGTTGAAAAATCAACTTGATTGTCACGGAGAGTTTCAAAACCTTCAAAACTTCCTGACAGCAAAACTGGATTTTAATATTTCAGCCCTGCCTTGCCATCAATGCCACGGCCCTGCCTGTTCCTGACAGTCTCTTTCATATCCAATTTCCTTCCAGACTTCTTGGCTTGAAAGAGTTCCTTGACAGCAAGACAAGCTGCTTAATTACCTGAAACATGGAAAGAAAACTCGCATTGCCTTGAATGTGGCACCTTTTAATTTGTCTCTTTCCATGGCATTCTCCCCTGCCCTGACCCAGAGGTGTGATTCTGTTTTGCGAGAGCAGTTGTTAACCTTGGAGCCGAGCTGTAAACACCCCCAGAATTTTGGGATTTTCTGTAATTTCCCAGAGGCTGGGCTCTGATGGAGGCAATTCTCAGAGATTAGCAGAGAGCAGGTAATTGATGATCTTTGAGGACGTTGTCTCCATAGATTCCAGCTCCAGCTTCCTTCCCTGCTCCTTTGGAATATAATTTATGGCTGGTACTCAGAGGAGGTCACAAAAAAAACATCGTGGAGACAAGTGGGAGCTGCCACCCTTTTGAAAAAATTCCATGTGAGGTTCCCTGCCACTCCAAAAGTCGTAATTAGTGAATATTCTCAGGTTTGCCAGCAGAGGCTGGAATTTGTGGATAAATTAAACTTGAGGAACATCTCCTGAAGTAAATTTCCCTTCTGTAGTACTAAAAAAGGTAATGAAAACAACTATAAATTAAATATCAGGGTGTGGGATCATCTGGGAACTTGTGATGGTGCTCAGGGCAGATATTGATGTTTTTGTGGCTCTGTGAGTGGCAGGTAGGTTAGGACTTGTCAGTCTGTGACAAGCAATTAACACTAAAAATTGGGAAAAATCAGTGTATTTGAAAGCTAAAATCCCAATCCTGTTCTGATCTTCAGCATTACAAATTTCCCTTTTTTATTTAATGAATTTAAGAAAATTCTCCAGATTATTTTTTTCTCTGGGAGGGCTTTTTAAATTCCAGTAGAATACAGGATTGGGCATGGCTAAAATATACCCTTGTAATCCCAAAGTTTGATAACCACAACTTTTATAGAACATATGGCAGAGTAAAATTTTCTATTGTATTTCATTGAAAATATCAGTTTTATCAAGAGACCTGCAGCCAGAGTTTGGAATTAAGGGTGGGATGCCATAAAACCATGAAAGAAATGCTTCAATACCCACTCTGAGCAGCATCATTCAGCATCACCTTGCTCAGGAAATATTTTTAGCCAAAGCCAGAAGAAATCAAAGCACTTTGAGGCAAATATTCCTGTCTCTCTGTGTATTGGGAAGAGACACTGGCAACAAATCAGTGTTTTTAGCACTACTTTTAGTGCTGCTATTAGAATTATCTGAACAAAGTTACTACATTTTAAAATTTATCATATTAAGTTACAAGAATCTTGCCAGAAAATTCCTCATGGCTTGTTTTCCCTCCTAAAACTGGATGGATATTTGAAACAAAACCTGTGTGAGAGGAGTTTCACTCTTCAGTGTTCATTTAGGAATTAAAAAATTCTATTTTGACTTAAGCAGTTTAAAATCTGCTGATGCAAATCCCTCAACACAAATTTCCCAGCTCCAGGAGACCTGGACTAAGTGAACTGCAGCACTTTGAAAGAAGAGTTTAATCCAGTTTAACCCAAATTTAAACTCAAATTTCAACCTGGACAGACACAATAATTTTTGGATTGGAGTTGTTTTGTGTTCTGGTGGAATATGAAACGTCTTAACAATAAATTGCAGGTCTTTCATTAAACAAAAAAACTTATGATTTCCAGAAAAATACTAATTTTTGCTATTTGTGGTAGATCAGAGGACTGCACAGCTTTGCAGCCATCTGAAAAGTAGAAACTTATTTCTAATTTTCTCTGTTTAATTCTAAGTAAATGTTTATTTCAAAAATGAATTTAATGTTAATATTTAGCTTTTTAATAGAAATAGTATTATAAAGTAAGTTATGTCAGCATGAAATTTTTGTAGAACCTTTTTATACTTAATATTCAGCTAAAAAAAAAAAAAAAAAGATAATTTCCTTCAGTGAGAGGATCCCATTTTCTAGGACATGTGGAAGGAAAATTGGGATTTTGTGCAATTTAGAGAGTTTTCCAGGCTGCATGGTGGAAGAATGTAAGGAATTCTTAGTGGCTACTGCGTGGCACAGGGATGAACTCCTGATTTTCCCCTCTGCTCCTTCCAGAGCGAGCTGCATCTCCATCTGATCTGATGCTCTCAGTTTTGTGGCTCTGGAGGTATTTTAAATTGCAAT